TTATTTTAGATTTTGTTCATTCTATGTTTTCCAAGAAAAAAATACGTTCAAATCAAATATATAATGTCCAAGGTCAATCGTATACTTTACTTAATCAAATAGGCTTTGGAAGATTTGGATCTGTTTGGACATCGACAACACAAAATGGTATGCGTATTTTCTTTTTTTTTCTTCTAATATTCTATCATTTTCGATTTAATATAATTGAAGAATGATTCATTAGTATTTTGAATATGAGTACTATAAATCAAAAACTATTGCTAAACTATAATGTTCTATTTCAGTAATATTTTTCGAAATAGATGTTCTTAGAAATTACAATAATGCTCGCAAATTTCCTTTCAGCAAATCCTCATTTTTGTTTCGTGTGTTAAACTATACGTATACCATTTTGAACATCAAATTTCTCATTGCTATTTGATTATCAGAATTATCGTAGTGGAATCGTCCTATACATTCGATATTTTCTATCATTGAAAATTCAGGAAAATTAATATCAAATTATAAACAAATAGTTAGACACAGTTTTTTTTATAGTTCATGATAATTGATTTAGTTTTCGAAAAAGTAAGAAGCAGTTTTACTCAATTTCTTTAGATAATAATAGTATAACGTTACATGAATATGAAATATGATTGCTTAGTGTTGACTGTATTCTCTTGAAACATCAAATGTAACGCCCTGCGGTGCTTAAAATACCCGGAATCGACGATTTCGGTTCGGTTCCTAAAATCTGTTTTGGGAACCGGTGGTTTTGCGATAATACAAAAAATTTTAAAACAGATTTTTTTCAGAAATTTTTATATTTCATTCTCAAGATCTTAACGTTTAATATTTCATTAAAAGAGTAATATGTTTTCAATAGGGAGCTGCGGGGTACTCCAAAATCCGATTATAACTCCGACTGCGACTCCGTCGGAATCTGTAAAACATAATTTTCTGGAGTTGTAGTTGGAGTCGAGGTCAAAAAAGTTAATTCTGCAGGTCTCTAGAGATCCCTCTTTCTCGTTAACAAAATTTTGGAGTTTTTCGGAGTCAGAGCCCAAAAATAAGAACTTTCGGAGTCAGAGTCGAGTTTTAGAGTCAAAAAAGTTGACTCCGCGCAGGTCCTTAGCTCCCAAAGTTACGCGCAGTGCACCATTACAACTATCATAGACTGCAGACTAAAGATTATGTTGTATCTACATACTGTTTTAGCTATTATTAAAAATATTTTCGATTCCATCAGTTCCGGTTTCGGTTCTATCGCCTTTTATTTCACGGTTCCAGTTCCGGTTTGGTTTTCGGTTCTATTTTTTTCGGAACCGCAGAGCTCTATTGAAATTACTTTGATTTATAGGTGAATATGTTGCTGTCAAAATAGTTGATTTTAATCATTCAGGAAATAATGCTAGTTTAAATGAACGTCTCAGTTCTTTTAGAACTGAAATTAAAATGATTAGTAAAATGCGTAATGAAATTGAACATGTTGTAATAATGTATGGATATGAATTTAATCCACGATATGGTGTGGGTTTTATAGTACTGGAATTGGCAGACGAATCATTAATAGATAGAGTTAGAAATCTTCATCAAAGACATTTAAGAACAAAAATATTTGATCGTTATGATTATATTCCATCAAAAGATCGACAGGAAATATGGGTTCAATTAATGAATATTATTCTTGCACTTCACCGACATCGTATAGTAAGTTACAATGAGTAAACTCTCATAGTAAAAAGTATTAGTACATCTTGTTTTATAAAAAATTTCTAATTCATATATTCTATTGCTTAAAAAAAGTAATAAATTCAGTTGTAATAATAACGTTCACATATAAATATAATTATGATATACTAAAGAATAATGATTTTTATGAATAAACTCTATACTAGGTTCATCGTGATATAAAACCAGCTAATTTATTATTTTTCGGGCCAACGATGAAAGTTATTGATTTTGGTATAGCCCAAGATGAACTTGCAGGGTAAATTTTACTTGTTTTTAATTGTTATATATTTCTCATTTTCTTTTATATAGATACAGTGGAAATCAGCGAGTAGCTGGTTCACATCCTTATAGTGCGCCTGAATGTTTTCATGGTCGAATACCTATTACATCCAAAGCTGATATATGGTCAGTAGGTGCTATTTTATATTTTATGACTTATGGGAAAAGGCCTGAATATGAAACTCCACAACCACCAGTTGGTGTTTCGCCCACTCATTCTTCTCTTGTTCAAGATGTTCTTAATCGTTGTCTTCAACGAAATCCAAATCGACGACCAGATCATCGCTGGCTTGTTCAACATCCTTTAACATAATCTCATGAAAAAAATTTTTGAATTGGTACAATTAGAAAAATTAATAGACTTGTAAACGAAAGAAAAGAATAAATGATTGTCTTGAGGGTGTGGGTGTAGACATAAGCGAGCAAAGATTACAATATATACACTCACACAACTGTTAAAACGCTAAATAAGTGAATATATTATATGTAAACTATTTCTTTCTGATATTTCTATACCTTTATGCCACAGAATGAGGCAAAATCCGCTTCATAAAGATACGATTAAACTATCTTCGTGAAGGTAGAAACAACAGTTACATCGTGTTTCACATTTTAATCCCGCTAGGGATTGCGCTAACAGCTTTTTTTATTAAATTATAAATATAATCGCACATCAGTGTAATTTTTACTTTTACAAAATTTTCTATCTGTGCATTCTATCATGAGATTAAGTTTATGTTGAACCTACAGGCATTCTCCTTCGTTTTACATTCTTGAAAGGTTTGAACCAACTATAAAAATTGCGACGATTTCAAACCCAATATAGAGCTATATAAGATTTAGTATATGTATATACTTTTGTTTTTGCAAAAAAAATTGTTTCCTTACTGAATTAATGCAGAAAAATGCCATTATTTAGTGAAAAGATGAATCGATTGATGGCATTCGATCAAAGTGTAAAATATTAATAGAGAAAAGAGTACAAGCTATTGTTTGGCTTAGTACAAAACATTAGATAATGGAATTAATCAATAGTATATTTTCACACGTTGTCCTTTGGTTAAAAAAGCATCGATTTATAAATCAAACCGTTTATATAATTTATTTACTTAGATACATGTGAGTCACTATTCATATTATCAGCTAGCGCCTAACTTCTATTTTTGCTTTTCAGTTTAATTATCCCTAAATATGAAAAAAATCGATCTTGGTGTATTTTCTGATAAGAACTATATAAATACTTTGCCTCACATTCCATTTGTTATAGTTAATCCATTAGCTCATATTTTCTGCTATGATTTTATAGGATAAGGAAGTTCGGATGAAAATATTCTATGAATCCTTATTCTCAACTATATTTGTCTACGATCACATTTCTTATAGTTTTCAACTAGAGTCAAATAATTTTTTTTTGTATTTGTTACATGCATTTAATCCATTTAAATATTTTGAAAACAACAATCATTTTATCACGAGTTGTCAACGACGTCACCTTTCACGTTGTGTTTTATATAAAAACAAAAACAAGTTATCTGGAGAATGTCTTTTTGTTTTATATAATACTGAGATTGTCATAAAAATACACGATAAGATGAATATTCTTGTTATTGTATATAATAAAAATCTATAAAGTATGTGTATCTTTCATATGAAAACAACCTTCGGATTTGATTCTATTATATATTAACATATAGAATATTCTGAATTATGTTTACATATATTCATATTTCTTTGCAGTTATTTTATCGTAAAAATATCAAATAAATTATTCACATTTTGGAAGACATGTAACTGAAAAAAACAGATATATAGGAAAGTTCTATTTCTATTAATTAGATTTCAGTTTCTTGGTCTTCTTTTCTATTATATTCGTGAACTGCCTCTATTTTATCAGTTAGAATAGTGTGATAAGGACCGAGCAATGATATATTTATCGTATGAATATAGCACATTTATGGACTTCACTAATGTCCTCCCCGTTATTGTCTTGACACATAGCGAATATTGCCTATAAATCATTTGAAAAATATCTAATAATTATTTTTTATATTTATAGACTGAAAAGAAAACATATTCGTTTTTTTTTTGTTAAAGTCTAAATGCAACGTAATAAGAGATTTTATTCAACTGCATTTCTTCTTGTTATATTTGCATTATCAACTTGGCTTGATGTCAATGGTGTTTGGGTTGAACTTCCATTAATTGTTAACGAAGCACCAGAAGGTTGGGCTTTACCATCTTATCTAACTCTTGCCATTGCGTTAAGTAATATCGGACCATTAATAATAGTATTATTAAAACTTTGTTTCAAACAACGTCTTAATGAACGAATATTTATTTATATAGAAATTATCGTAGGAATTATATCTTGTGCTTTAATTGCTCAATATTGGAATAAAAGAAGTTATATTGCTGGTCGAGAACATTCAGTATTTTTTCTTATTCTAGTTTTTTTACTTGGTACGTTAGATACGACATCGAGTGTTACATATGCTGATTATATGAAACGATATCATGCAAGTTTACTTAATGCACTTTATCTTGGTGAAAGTCTTACATCATTAATTCCATCCGTGCTAGCATCTATACAAGGTGTTGGAGGTGAAGCAACATGTCCAGCTAATTCAACTTATGCAGAATATTCGTCACCACGTTTTTCAGTTCAAGTTTATTTTTGGATATTTGTTGCAATTATTTTACTTTCACTTTTTGCTTTTCTTATACTTGAATTTTCATCGATTGCAAAATCGAATCGAACGATCATAGTCTATGATTCCTCACCAATAGCAAGTTCTAATGAACTTTCTCTACAAACAGAACCACCATCAGTTATCCTTGCAACATCAACTTCTATGACAAAAAAATATTATTACGGTCTTCTCATCATAGGATCTTTATCGAGTTTGATTATCTACGGTATATTACCCGCAATTGGTACATATGCTGTATTACCCTATTCTCAACGTGCTTATTATATTTCAAGTCTTATATTACCTATTTCAAATCCATTTTCCGTATTAATCGGTGTTTTTATACGAAGTATATTAAATTTTATTACAATATCGATTATATTCATAATTGCAACATGTATATCAATATATGTAATAATTGTTGCTTTTTTAAGTCCATGTCCGCCATTACATGATTCAACGGGTGGTGCTATATTAGTTATTAGCTGTTATTTTCTAGCTTATTTACTTTTTTATTATATAAGATTGGTAATTGGAAATCGAATTCGACAAGAATATCCACATGAAAGTGGATTATTTTGGTATGGAGCAGCAACTCAAATGGGTACTCTTATAGGAGCAATACCAATGTATTTACTTGTCAACGTCTATAATGTATTTCAAAGTCGAAATGCTTGTCAAGCATATTGTTGAGAAAATTTCATTACATTAATAAATCCTAATTGTATCATCTTTTTGTTTCTGAAAAAAACCAATTCACTAAATACAAAAAACAATTAAAATTTCTTTGTATGTTTGAAAGTTTTTCGATCAAGCCATGGATCTGGTCGTGGTATTCGTACTGGTTTAAGAGGTTTAAATTTATCTTTGACTTCACTAAAAGGTTTCTTTGCTGCTTTGGCTGCTAGAGTAAATGGAAAAAATGGTGCTTCTAAAAAAATACAAAGCGAAAAGTTTTTAATAATAAATTAAAAAACAAAATATTTACTAACCAACAACAACATCTTCACCTTTAATTAATTTTTCCCATAGATAAACTTGACCTTTCTTTCGTCCTAATTCATTATGAATACCATGATTAGCCATTCGTTTCATAACATTAACTCTATGTCTTGATTCATAGAGAAAAGCTGTTCGAATAGGTTGTATTGGTAACACACTCTTAAGAACATTCCTCGTTGTATTTGTTAATAGGGAAGTTTTTAATACAAATAAATTTATCATTCCTATCTGAAAATTTATAAAAAAAACATCATTTTTGTTTTCCTATTGCATAACAAAACGTCATATTTATTTTTAACTAATAGATATACACGGGGCCACGTTTTTTAGTCTCTACAATGCCATTCGCTTTCATTAATTCTTCAGCAACTGTCATTAGTTTAGGTTGAAATGTAACACGCTTAAGTTCATCATCGATAGTATCACCAGGGCCAGCTAAAAATAATTCAATATGAGAAAAAAAATTATTTTTTTTATATTTTTTCTTTTACGTTTATAAGTTTTTTTCTTTGCATAGTCAAATGTTTCTTCCCATGTAGGTGCTTTTGGAATAATTCGACCAGATCGAGTAGATACACGTACTAATTCACCTTCAGCTGTATAACGCCATTCAATAGTACATGGTTTCCTAAAAATTATCAAAATAAAAACATATATAAAGAATAAAATGATTTACCCATCGTATGGATCGATTAATTTTATTTGATATGGAGCAATAAGTGGTTTTTCTTTAACAGCAATTGTACTAGCAGCGATAACACCACCACTTATTCGTTGAACTTCCTAACATATAAAATTATGTTAAAGATTAATTGTAAAAATATTTTATTTACTAAATTAAGTCCAGCAACAAAAACAGCATTTAATTCTCGAATAAAAGCAGTTACATTGCCTTGTTTGCCTTTATCTTTTCCAACCATAATTTCAACCTATTGATAGATATATTTAAGAATTAATTAGAAAATTAAAAGAAATAACATACAATATCTCCACGAAAAAAATCCCAAGTTTTTAATGGTTCAACTAATTGTGGTCGTCGTTGACCTTGTCTTGGATCATTTCTACGTAGAGCAAGATCAGTCCAAGGTGGATCATGTGTATATATCCATGGATCATTATATTTTATTGTTTTATTTGGTATAACATTCATATTACCCTCTGGAAATAGAATAGTATTAGAAAACCTCTTTTTCTTCTTCTATGAAATTAGATTTTTGTTTTACCAATAACTGTTCCATTGAATTTGACTCGTTCAACATATCGTTTTGGCATATGAAAATAATCACTATATCGTAGAATCGGTGTTAACCGAACCATATTTTAAATTATCTAAAACTAAAGTCATCTATCGAATGGCACTGTACTCAGTTATATAATAATTCTTTTTTTTTAGTTGTTGCTGTTTGCTTTTTTTTTTATAATCCATGTGTTTGTGCAAGCGAGAAAAAGGAACAAAAAACATGTTTATAATAATATACACAGTCGTAGAAGCAAAAAAACGGGGAAAAGAAAAAGAAACACCGAATGAAAGAAATATGTATACATATATACGAGCGCGCATGTTTGTTTGCTTTTTTTTATGTGTGTGTATATGTTCATCATCAGATTTGAACAATAATACGTCACGCCTCAAAAACCATCATTATCATCATCATCATCATCATCATCATCAAGAGAAATACAAGAATAGTCAAAATCATATGAGAAAGTCCTATGGACGATAATAAAAGCAGCACAATTATTGGGCTAGATTTTTTTGTTAAGAGAAAAAGAAAGAAAGAAAGAAAGAAACAGTTTACTTGAAAGACACATGTAAAAGAAGAGAAAAAGAAAACCAGGAAAAACGTATATACAAGGCTAACCTAGATACACACACACACGCACACACTCACATAATATATATATGTACATTTTTTAAAAGAAACCTATCTTCGTCGATAGAAAATTTTTGTAGGAATAACGACCGGGGTAGCAGAAAAATTATCGACATGCATGAGTGTCGATGTTGAACTCGCTGATGATTCAGTTGAAGATGAACGAGTTGATTGATCATGATAGACAATATCGAAATAATTTGAATTTTGTTTGGAATTTCGATTCGTATTATTTTCTAATATAAATGGTGGTTGAGATGATGAATCTGTAGGAGAAGGAGGTTGATAAGTTAATTTTTGATGAAATACTTTTCTCTTATGAGTTGTTGTTGTTGTTGTCATGGGTGTATACAAATAATTTTGTGCATGATTATGTTCAGAAGAATGAGTTTGTCGAGGCTAAAATCAAACATAAATAGAATATAAATGTGACATTTATTATAAGCAAAAATTGGCTTTGCAAACAAATTAGTTACGTGCAAGTTAGTTACCTTATGTTATATATTGATTCAATCGAGTTTTTTTTGGTATGAATAATGCGCTCATGTAGTAATATTGATTGATCAAAACACAAAAGAAATCAAACTCACGCATAGTTATATGCATATTTACATAACACACACATTCACACAAGCATCAGCACATGATTGTTTCTTTTTTTTTTTTTAATTGGCATTTTTAAGTTTGAAGCAAAGCGCGCGCACACACACACAATCAGAGTTGATCACTCTGAATGTTATTGTTGTCATTTTCATTATTGTTTACCAGATATTGACTATGGCTATTATGACGAGGAAATATTGGTGGTTCTGATAAAGTTTTACAAAGAGATGGATGAGCGGATGAATTAGTATGTGATGATGATGAAGGACATCTAGCCAAAGGAGAAACGGAAATCTGAAAAGTGCGAAGAGGAATTAGTTTATTAGCAAAATCATTATTATTATTGTTATTATATATACATACCTGAGATTTCTGTCTCACAATAGATGGTAAAAGAGTTGGTTGAGGAGAATCTGGTTCACTACCAGTGGGTGTCGGTGGTTTAAGTGGTGCTTGAAGCGGTGGCCATTCAGATGAATCAAGAATATTTGGACGAGGTTGATGATAGATTGTTGTTAATGATCTATCATTATTATGATCATTATTTGATTGATTAAATAAAAGTAATGGTAAAGAGGATGATAATATAGATGTATTTGTCGTTGTTAATGTATTATTCGTGTGTGTATTCGTTATTAATGTTGTTGGAATGGTTAATGGACTTCCCGCAGCTATGGCTGCTGCTTCCATATCACGAGCTACTTTTCGTTCACTTAAACGTCGAAATAAAGAATTATTTTGTGGATGTTTTTTATTTAGATTTGCTGCATTTGAATTATTTCCATTACTATTATTTGAATTCATATTTATTGAATTTCCTGATGAATTTGTTCGATATTTTTGACAATATGGTTGATGATATGAATTACTTGTTTGAGTTTTTTTATTATCATAATAATGTTGTTGTTGTGACTGTTGTTGTTGTTGTTGTTGATGCTGAGGTTGATAACGAATTTTTTGTTTTGATGGTGAACGACGTCTTCCACCAGTACGTATTTGAGTTTCTGAACAAGGTATAGCACGTATTGATAATTTTGGAGAACCACTTAGAATTAATTTAACAACTTCTGGATGTAAAAGACCAGCTACAGGACGTTCATTAACATGAGTTATAACATCATTGGGTTTTAAACCAGCTTCCTGTGCTGGACCTTCAACAGCAACAACAACATGTTGAGTCGTGTAATAATCCGTATTTCCATGAAAGACTTTAACAGCACGTAATGTAAAACCAAAACTACGCGGGCCACGACGAATAATAATCGGTGGTCGAAGATTATTTGTTATTGAATGTATAGGTGATATAGTCGATGAGGAAAATGAATTCTGTTGATGAGCTTTAAGAGTTGTATCACGTTCAAGTGGAGATACAGCCATATTATGACGTTGTGTATGACGATAAGAACGATCATCCTAAAAGAAAGAAGAGGCAAAAAATAATTTATCTGATGAATTTCAAAAGGAAAAAAATAACTTACTGGATTACTAAGCCAGAATGGTGGTGGTGAGGATGATGAGGATGAGGATGAAAATGATTTTGAAAGTGATCGTGGAAAATTTCGTTGTTGTTGATTGTTATATTTCACCGGTTTATTTGGATTATTTACTGTTGTTATAGGATATGAATTTACTCTAGTTGCACCTGTTGATGTTGTTGTTGTTGGTGCTGTTGTTATTGAGTGTGGTGGTGGTGGTACAAGTGAATTTGATGAAGCTGATTTTTTAAATTCATTTTCATTCATTGATGATGCAGTAGGTGTTATTTCAGATGATTGTGGTGAAACATTTAATGTATTTGATTGAATAATATCTTGTGATTTTGTATTTGTAGGAATATTAATATTATTTGCCGGTGTTGGTAATGTCGATGATTGTTTTGGTTGTAGTGGAGATAAAGCACGAGGAACACGAACTTTTTTATGATGATGATGGTGATGATGATGACGAGATTTACTCTTTTGTTGTTGATTATTATCATCACCACTATCATTTGCATTTTGTTGTTCAAGTAATTTAAGTGAAGTTTTACGTTGTTTATAATGTTTAGTTGTAGTTGAAGGTGTACTTGTTGTAACTGAACTTGTTTTCTTGTCATCGGTATTTGATGTCAATGTTGTTGATGATGAAACTGGTACAGATGATGAAACAGAAGATGATGATGATGAATTTTTTCTTGATAATGTTATATTAGATAATAATAATTTATCTGATGGAATAAATATACTTGGATTCTTTTTAATTGATGATGATTCAGAAGAATTATCATCAGAAGAAACGAGTAATGGCTCAAATGTATCCGAACCAAATGTTGCTTGAATAGGTGATGGTTCAACTAAAAACAAATTAGTTATAAACGAAAATAATATTCAAGTTTATCATTTACCTTTTTCTCTTGTTTCAACAGGCATGGATTGAGACATAATAAGTGGTTGAAAACCACTTGGTGAATTAATTCGTATAACACTATCTGGATGAAAACATTCTGAACATGAATTCGCTCTTGATACATCTGTTGATGACATTTCCGATGCAGTTGTATTTGTTGTTGTTGAATCTTGATGTTGTTGTGTTTTATTTGAATTACGTTGTTTATGATTTCCAGATAATTCTGAAACATATTTTAATGAAACAGATGAAAATGATGCAAATAATATATCCGAATCATTATCAGGTAATGTAACTTGTGTTTGTTTATTTGTTGTTGATGATAAAATATCATCATCTGAATGTTGATAACGATCTTCTCGTGTATCAAAATAAGATGTATCATCGGGTGATTCTAATACTGGTACAAAATCTGCTTTTTCACGTAATAATGTATTCCAATTAATAGGAGCACAAAACGGATGTGTACGAATTTCATATGCACCACCTAATGTACCTAAACGTTGCGATGGATCATGTTCAAGTAATTGTTCAATTAAATTTTTTGCTTCAGGACAAAACATTTGTTCCGATGAATCATAACAAGCTGATGAAGATAAATCAATGGTTGATTCATCAAGTATATCAGGCCATTCCATTTGTCCATTAATAACATTAACAAATAATTCATCTGGTGTATTACCAGTAAATGGTGGCATACCAACTAAAAATTCATATAATATTATACCCATACTCCACCAATCAACTGGTTTACCATAACCTTTTCTTAAGATAACTTCAGGTGCTATATAAGTTGGTGTACCACATATTTGTTTATCATTAAATGCTTTTGTTTCTTTATCAATATGTTTTTCATAAAAATTTGTTGTTAATGACATTAAACCAATTTTTGATAAACCAAAATCCGTTAATTTTATATGACCAATAGCTGTTATTAAAAGATTATCAGGTTTAAGATCACGATGAATAATACCATAGGAATGAAGATATTCAACTGCTAATGTTGTTTCAGCAAAATACATTCGTGCTATATCAATATTTAATGGTCCACCGATATTTTTTAATAAAGTAGCAACATCACCACCTTCAACATATTCCATAACAAGACATAAATGTTTTTTAGTTTCAAATGTACATATAAGTGCAACAACAAATGGATTGTCTGTAAATGTCATTATATCACGTTCAACAAATGCTTGTTCAACTTGATTACGTAAAATCAGATGAGTCTTAGAAATTTTTTTCATAGCATATCGTTCATGACTTTGACGATGTTTTACTAAATGAACAGCACCATATGCACCATTTGATATTAATTTAATCACTTCAAAATCATCCTCACATGGACCTTTTGTTGATAATGGATGTTCAATTGGTGGAAATGTTGAATTTGGTGTTATAGTTAAATAATTTGAATCTGTAAATGATTCACTTTCACTTTCAGATAATCCAACACTTGCTTTACTATCTGTTGAATCTTGTCGTTCAATCTCAAAAGATTCATGAACCTAAATAATAGATTTGCTTTTTTAATTTCACATAAATATACATCTCATAATTTATGTAACAAGGTTCTCCTATTTACGTATGTAAGATACGAATTAGTATGATTCTTATTATATGATTAATGAATTCCCTAGTGATTATCCCGAAAGTTCATTTTCTTCTAGACATTTCCGCTAACATCTGCTTTTTCTTAGATATAAAAGAGAATCCCTATTGATTTCCGAGTCATACAGTACAAACAAAAAAGAATACGGTTCATTGCTAAAGTAAATTTCCGTCATGCAATCTCTTATATTTCAAAATACCTGTAATGCATCAATAACATCAAGTGGATTACGTTCAAGATTAAGTTTTGAACAAATATATTTAGGAATATCTTGTTTAATATTTCCATTAATTTTAGCTTGACATTCAACTTCATCTAATGTACGTAAGAAATCTTCGGGATCAAATTCTAAACATTCAAGTAAACGTGCTGATCTTGCTGTTGTTAATAAAAGATTTCGTACAACTGTTTGTAAATTTCCAATAGCTTGTGGACATTTTTCTTTTGTATTTAATAATAATCGCTCTAAATTACTTGTCATTTCATTAAAATATAATGTTGTTATTAAATCTTCATGAGATTTTTCTAAACAATCTTTAGCTAATTCAACAATTTGATTATGTATAAATCGTGCTGAACCATCTGAACAATATTCAAATTTATCAACTGTTTTATATGTATCAATAAAATTTTGTAAACGTTCTTCCATTTGTACTTTAGCTGTTGGATAACGTTCTTTATAAATATATGCCATGGTATTTATATCATGATCAGGCATAATCATCATTTTACATGGTGATGATGATATATTTGCATCAAGCATTGACATTGATAATGAACGTGATTCTAAACGTTGTAAACTACCATAAATAAAATCATCACTTGGACTACTATTTGATAGACTTCCTTCATTTGAATTCGGTATATTTATTAATTGTTTACATGTACAAATATGTTGTTGAGGATTTTGTTGTTGTTGTTGTTGCTGTTGTTGTAATTGTTGTTGTTGATGTTGAAGACGTTCAAATGATGAATATTGTGAACTTTCATGTGAATGACATGTTATTGGTGTTGTTGTACCATAACCACTTGATGATGGAGCTGATGTTAATGACCATCGACGATTGGAATTATCATCAAGATTAATTATAGGTTTAAATGCACTTGATGATGATGGGTTAAATGTAGCTGATGATTTATTTGTATCTTGTGGTTCAGATAAAGTTGCACATAATGTTGGTTGTTGTTGAGGTGATAATTGCTTTCTTAAAGCATATTTTAAATTAATTAAATTTAAACCGGATAAATTTGAACGACGTGAACTTGGTCGACGTAATGGAAATGGAAAATAATGTTGTTGTTGTTGATTTTGTGATGGTGTTAATTGAACATTTGTTGAATTCGAATTATTATTTTGAGAATTATTGTTATTATCAGCACCACCACTTGTTGTTGCTGATGATGTTCGAGGTGAAGATTTAAGTGATGGAGACATTTGATAGAAATAATTCATTTGTAATGAATTTAAATTTGGTTCTGATTGTCCTAAACGAAGACGACGTAAACGTACTAGATTTACTGTTTGTTGATTTGGTGTAAGAATATCAGGTGATTGAGAATTATTTGTTGATGTAGACATATTATTTGGACAATTTGTTGATGTTGATAATAATTGTGCTTGTGATACCATCCAACTACGACGACGAAGACGTTCTTCAACAAATTTTTTTGTATTTTGTTCACGATAACGAACTAAATGTTGACCGGAACCAGTTGATGAACGTTTACGTGTTATTGGATGTGATTGTTGCTGTGGTTGTTGAAGTGTCATAAGCGGCTCAGCTGATTCACATTCATCAACACTTAATAAATGAGAATCTGGATTTTCTTTTGATACTGTTGGTAATAATGATGAAGTGCAAGCTGAATCCACATCTAATAAAAACATATTTAATATTAAAACGTGCATTCGTAGACATATATATATATATATATATAATAGTAGATGAAATCACGTAGGAAATATAGAATTCGAATAAAATTCCATCTGTTATTTTTATAATCACTATAGATTTATTCAGTACTTACGCATTACTTCAATGCATAAATGTGAAAGGGTTTAAATGTATAAATATCGTTCTATTTGAGAGAAGCTTCTCTAAGGGTATCTGTTTTATAACAAAATGTTAATCAATAGAAAACAAAAGACAACATACTATTCATTTTTTTCCTCTCTTGTTTATTTCTATTAGGGAAATAATTCTGTGTAATGTATTATATATATATTGCTTAAGAAAATGTTTATTACCTGAAACAACAACAAATAATTTTTTTGATTTTTCTAAATTTTCATCTTGTTTTAATTGAGTATTAATTTTTTGTTCAGATGATATTGATTCATCCGATGTTGAGTTAATTAATTGATCGGTTGAGTTTATTATTGTTTGGGATTGACTAGGTGTAGCTTGTGATTTGCTTTTTCTTGTTATTGCTGCATTTATTTGTAATTCATCGTCTTTATTGAATGGTGATACAGTTGAAGATGGACCTGTCAATGTGATTTGTTGTTGATGTGTCTTATTTTTTGATTTCTGACTGAAAAATTTTCTCATAGTTGACTGATAAGTTGGACAAAAATATATATATATATGTAAGATTATTTGATGGTTAACTCGTTGTCAACAAGAGAATAGAAAAAAAACGACTACGACATAAAAAGTAATGATTGCTAATGACAAAATATTAGTTATTGTGAGTCATCGTTTGTTTTTTTAGCGACTATGATATAAACTATAATTGACAGGTGAATAATGATGGAGTGTTCTCCAATATTTTTTGATTTTGCTTGACTAGATTTGTCGCCGGTTTCTGTTGCATTCTATAATATATAAAAAAAGACGTAGTTTAATGACAATAGAAATAAATATAAGGGTGAGAGAGAGAGAGAAGCAAACAATAGACAAAAATAAGACCAGGTATCTATATGATAAAAAAGTAATAAAAATTTGTCAACCGTCATGTTGTTGACATCATGTGTATGCACCTATTGCAACACGCCAGAGAAAAAAAATGAAAGAAACAATCGTCATCCTATCGTAACGCACAATAATGATGAACACAGCTTTAGGTATAATGAAGCTGTATGTATACGTGTGAAAGAAAATTCTTTTTTTTTCTTACTTGCTTATTCGTTCGTTCGCATTTACTTTTCTAGTTGGAGGTTGTTCTACATCACACGCACTCTTTATTTCTTTCTTTCTCACTAGTCTTCCCTCGTCATTCTAAAAGAAAAAAATCAGCTGTCGCAATTGTGACTAACAATATACGTATACATATATGCATATACATATACGTACATATATATATTGGTGTGAAAGAGAGCGAGAGAAAAAGGGGAGCTGGTAGTAAATGGAATGAATTTCTGCTTGCTTATTTGCCTTGTTCGTCTAGATGTTATAATTCAAGCATATAGGTCATTCTGATGATCAATATACGAAGAAGAAGAAGAAGAAAAAATATGCAATCTCTTTTGATCTCTATCTGAATGCACATTTAACCCTTGTTATCATGAAATATCTCTTTTGGCCTTTCGAGTAATAACGTACGAAAAAAGAAAGAAAGAAAGAAAGGCATAATACACACCATGAAAATATAATGTCATGAAGGAAATAGTAGGTGGTCAGATGAAGAGGAGTGAATGAATACGCAAAGTACTTGAGCTCATAAATAATGGTATCGTAGAAAATCCTTGAAAATAGAAATGGAATAAAAAGAGTATTCGTAATAGTTGCTTACATATTGTAAAATTTTAGTTTGAAAGATAAAGAACACACAAGGTCAAGTAGTAACGACTTCAGTTAAAGAGAACATTAAAAGAAATGTATACATATGATCGATGGAAGTAAATCATATGGCTTAGATTGTATTCAATTTATTCGATAGAATAAATATCAGAAGGACAATTATTTCTTATCAAAGAACATTTTATTACTTTCTTCTTCTTCTCCTCTCCTATCAAATCAATAATCATAAAACTTATTAAAATCATTCTTGTTTCTTTATTCTACACTAAAAATAGAAACAACAGAATTCATAAAGTGTTTTATTTATAATATATTAATCAAATTTGTCTACGACATTTACATGTCAATCTATAATTCAAAAGAAAATATTTTTTTTTGAAATTAAAATAATACAATTGATTAAAGAGATTATTTTTATTACTAAGACAAAAAAGAAACGAAACGAAACGAAATTTATTTAAAAAGGATTACAGTCATTATTCAAATATTCTATATCATCTACATTTTTCTTATCTCTCATGACTAACATTTTAAAAGTGTAATGTCCAAATTACCTTTGATGCATCGCTTACTGATCATGTACGTCCAATTTATTAATCCAATCGTACTAAAGGAGTAGATTATCGAGTAGTTACTCTTTCTATTAACCTTCATTCATCGTTGGAGTCCGTGATTTATATATTACTTTTTGATCTTTCCATGTGTACAAGCACATGACTTACGTTCTTGTCATACCGATAATAATCATAAACCATACATATCCGAGTTATTTCAAGTTAAAAATCTATTTGAACTGCTTAATGTAATTGATCAAAATCAATTTACATTTTCTTTTTCTCTTCTTCTCTCTTATATATTCAGTTCAGTTACATACTAGAGGATGTATAATAGTATTTCTCTCATACGGCGCAAAGATACTGTCACGGATAAGCGAAATAATCGTATGAATGCATGAAGCACATCATTAAAAAAGCAACAAAACGACGAAGATGAAAAAAAAAGGTGTTCGATATCGAACGTCTGTCTAAAGCAAGGACATATATGTTTTGTTTATTTTAGAATAGTCCTAACATATTTTCTTGTACATACAATATGTGTACTGAGTAGAATTGTTTATTCATTATTTATATTTATGATCAAATTCTTTTTCTAAGTAATTTCTATAGGAGAAAAAAAGATGAAATTGAATAACAATTGATATTATTTATATTAGTTGTACTATTAATGGAAAACACAATGATTGATTTTCTTTTTCTGCATCGAAAGACATATAACGGAAAAAACATACGTGTTGATCAACTGACAGGCATATCCATATACATATAGAGAAAAGTAAATAAGTTTTTTTTTCTCTAGCGGTTTTTCTATCTTATCATCTTTTCGCCTTCGCACTGTCCATTAAAGAACGAACGAACTTAGTTACTTTTTTTTTATAATTGATGCGAATATAATTCTTTGTATAGTTTATTTATAGTATGCATGTTGACTTGAATTAATTGTCTATCTTAGTTAGCACACCATCATATATGCGTATGTGATATAGAAGTTGTTTCTGGCAAGCAAAGAAAACTAGTTTTATGATAAATAATTGTCTATTTGTTTCTCAAGTACATTTATTTCGTCATAAGAAAATAAATATTAACATATCATGAGATGACTCGTGACTTTTTTTTTTTGGTTGTTGTTATTATTGATTTAGTCAGACAAATAAAAGATAAAGATCTTGATACTTACTCGTACGACATTAAATTCGTAATAAATTAATTGAATACTTATTATAATTCATATCTGAAATAAATAAATAAATATATATACATATGAATTGAAGAATATCGATGTACAATATTCGAGGACATTTTCTGGCAGAGAGAAGAGGAAAAAAAGCGAGAATTATTATTATTATAATATACTGTATGATTGTCGATGAGTCATCGAAATTTGTTTCTAATAAAGGACAAATGTCAATATTCGATATTAAACTTCCATTCAAAATCATCAACAAAAAAAATATCTGAAGAATATTTTTCAAAAAGATATTTATTTGAATTTTTCCAAATTTTACATTCCAATCTAAATAAACAAATAAAATAAATGATGGCGCTGTTTGCACATCTATATATATATATATATACACATTTAATATCACCTGTAATTTGAAACAAAAAAAACATTCGTACTTTCTATACATTACAGTCGATACTAATTTCCATCATTAATTTGCGTTACATGAGAAATATAGAGTCAACTACGCAGATCATTTTTATGTCACTACAATCAACATTATTATTAATATAGGTTTTTTAAAACAACGAAATTAACAATATATTCATTTGATCTCTATGAAAAAAAAATATAATGGAATAAATAACAAAAAATGTTGAATTACATTTAAAATAAAAGCCCCCATCTTGCAACTGAATACTAGCGACTCTCATTGATTATGCTAAGAATTTCAGATCTAATGTCAAATGTAGGATGTGAAAGTTATTTAAAAAAATTATGTCAAATATGTAATTTACCATTTGAATATAGTACAGTCTGACATAAATATTTATGTACCGGTGTAATCATGATATTTTTCTAAAGAATGATCATAATGTGAAAGAGAAACAAAATGGAATCATATGTCTGACATGAAATCTATTAAAATAATTGAAGATAAACAAAATCACTCTATTTTTAATTGCAATATTTATCTTTCATGAGAAATTTTGTAACTGCGATTAATTTAGCTCGATACAATTGAGAATTATATGCACTTTAAATCAAATTATCGTCGTAGAAGATATTATGATTTATGGAATTGTTCTCATTTTTAAGTGAGTTATATATAGAATTATAAAAACATTTAATAAGAAAGCTGTAGGCTTTTTGAAGACTAGACAATGCAGAAAAGTACGCAATGGAATGAAACATTTCAATATTTGCATACTTGATCATATGCAACTATTTTATAAAATAATTATTTCCTTTGTTGATGATACTTAAAAGATTAATAGAGAGTTTCGAATTAAATTTTTTGTTTTTCATAAATATTATTGCCATTTAATATGGTAAATACAAAACCAATGGGCATGGCTTTTAACATCATAGAAGCGGAAAATGATGTCCTAATTATGGACTTTTTCTAAATTTTGTTTTTCTATTAATGAAATAATATATGGATATTTTGAATTTGTTTTCATAATAACTTAGATTATTGATGCATAAGACTAAAGATTGTTGTTGTTAGGATGACTAAACCTGCTACACATTTTAGTCCTATAGAGAAAATATACGAAATTTTGCCCGACTAATTATGAAATAATAACATATTTTTCACACATTTATGGTAGGTAATAAATATTGTTTTTGATTTTGAAGCTTCCTACACAGTAGATATGAATGAAGGTTATACTAATGATTTATTTATATGATAACTGGGCAATAACGATGAAAATGAAATCGATGATAAGATCAATTGCCTTCTTGTTAAAGAATTATTACGATATTATCTTCGTTGTTATTGCGCTATTCTAAAGAGAAAGAAAAAAAACATATATTTATATTTGATATCAAATCTTTTCATGATCGATACTTTTTTATCTTTGAGTATCATTTCATTATTGAACTTTTTTCGACATTTACATATTGATGATAACATTATAAAGAATAAAATTAATATAACTGTTATCAAACCAATATAAATAAGAATCGAACGAATATCATTATTTCCATCAGTAAAATCTTTGAAAAAAAAATCTCATAAGAAAAAATTTCATAGGTATATTCCTAATACTTTCATTGTATGAAGATGAAAATTGATTCAATATTGTTTGAAACATAAATGTATAATTTATATAACTACTTCATCTAATATAAGTAGTTTAATAAGACGAAGAAAATTCAACAGTAACGAAAAAGAAACAAAAGATTTTCATATGATACAATTACAAAAAAAAACATCATGTATTTCAACGAGTAAAGATAATCAATACAATTGATCTTATTTTAATTGCTAAACACAAAAAGTTTTCGATGTATCTTTACAATAAATGATTGATAAGATTTACACGATCATATTACATATATATATATATATATTAAAGTTTAATAGAGAAATCAAAAGTCACAAAAAATACAATCTCACAATTTTATTGTATACTTGTAAAAGATTGACAAAGTTTTAGGTCTTTATCATAATCATGATTTATTATTCTTGATATATTTTTATGTTCACCATTGAGTATTGTTTTAGTTGTTTTACCATTAAAGAAAATTGCCATAGTTTTTTTTGATTTAGATAAAGGCGTATGTGTTGATGGACGTCTCATATTTGCATGTATAACATGTTCAGGTGTTAAACGATCTTTTTTATGTTTAATAAACCGAATACTACGAAAAAAATGACGAACTTCATTAATAAATATACTTCGAAATTTTTTTCCAGCTAAACAATATAAAAAGAAATTAAATATATGTGGTAAATCAGACAAGATATCTTGTATCACACTTGAATAAAAACCAAATTTATATAATGATATTTCATTATTACTAACATTTGTACATAAACGTCCAATTAATATTTGTCTTGTATCATAAATTTTAACAAAAACAAAAAAAATTGTATTTGGAATATTACATATTATTAATGATAATGTTACAGCTAGAAGCATACGTGTAACTTGTGCACTAAGACGTCGTTTTGCTGCTATGACAATATCGGTTGCTGTTACTGTTGAACCTGCAGATGAACGACGATAATTTAGTGATGGTACTGATAATCGAGAATTAAACTTTTCTGCTTCACATTCTCGTTTACTATTATCATCAGATGTTGACCAATTTAATGAAACACGTGATACACGATTTAATACAACAGCAATAACAATATTTGTTATTGTAATTAATCCTAAAGAGAAAAATAAAATATTTATTATATCATATAATTTCTAGAATCTATTGCATATTTAATGCATCATGACATTTGAGAAAAAGTATGTATAATTACTAACAAATGTGTTTGACAAGGCGAAACGGAGAAGTTTGACACTGTCATAGTTTCATTATATGGAAAATTTATAACTAATGAAATGTAAATTAGTAACTCTAAAATATTAAATTTTGTTTTCTTTCCTAAAAGGACATTAAGTTCATATACAAAAATGAATAATAGGTCATTCATTACTAATGAGAGGACTAATATTCATTCTATTGATTATGAAAAATTTGAATTTGTAAATAGTATTTAGTAGATATATTCGAATTTTCTTAAATATTTGTCTTGAATTAAGAATTATTTATAGAATATGATAATTAAATTTATGAGACATAACAAAAAAATACATTTCAGCATTTTTTTAATTGTATTGCTATTAACATTTAATAAAACTATTTATGACTTTAATTATCTTAATCGCAACAAAACAATACAATATAATTCTATATGTATATCATGCATAATTAAAAATTTTCCTTCCAATTACAAGAGAAGATGTATATCATTATGTCTAAGAGTAAATTATTAAGATAGAACATCTTTTTAAACATATTCCGAAGTTCTATTCATGTTGTTTTAAGATATTAATGCGAACTTTATTCGAGTTATTATATTTTATATTTAGAAACATTTTTAATGAAGTTAAATGAATGCCATGTTGATTCATTGAAGCTCCTCAGCTAACGATTTCAAGCTATGATAAACTTTTCAATTCTACATCACAACGTTTGGCAGAGTTATTCATTAAAGAAGGATCAAAAGCGGTTTATTTAGCAAACTAAATTTATCTGTCTGAGTCCGTATTATATGTTTAAATTTATATTAGTTTGAAAGAACATATTAGGATGTAGTTGCAGTACAGAGTTCTTTTTTATTTTTAATTATTATTTCTTAAGTAGAAAAAAGAAATCACAAGATGAATGTCTCTTAAAATTCTGAGAAAATGGTTGTTCATTAATATGGATATAATGAATAAAAAAAGAGTAATTAAAAAAAGAACTCTGTAGTGCACTGTAATTTAACATACTTTTTTTGGATGAAAAACTTTGATACCGATTTGAAAATCATATATACATTGACGTCAATTCCGGACTTTTTGATGAAAATAAACCTTTTTTTGAGAATGTAGGACAATCTCAAGAATAATAGTTTGATTAACAGAAATAAAAGAAAATATTTGCAAATAATAGTCTTACTGACAAGAATTATAAATAATTTATGATATGATATACAAACAAAAAGAAAATCTATATTTTATCATGAAATAATTCTCCTATCAATATATACTTAAATATATATTTCCGTTTCAATATCCTTGTGACATTCGTGCGTCTCACTTTTTGTTTTTATATAAAATTACTATTAAATTCTATCATATTATAGCTTTAAACGGTTATAATCATTTCCTTTTTAATAAAAAGAATGATATTTATAATCTATAATTACATCTTACCATGTCCTCCGGCTCGAACTCAATGATTAAGAAAACTTCTGTTTGTTTTTCTATATAATATTTGACTGTATCGTAAACAAAAGCATTTTATTGTGTCATATAGATAATTTGATTGTCAAAATTTATGCAGATAAATGATGATAGATCTATTTTTACATAAGAGATTCTTAGTTTATTTTGATTACTAATATGATACATAGATTAAAGATTACAAAAATTATTCCATACATACCCATTGGTAATATTGAAGCAGTTAAAAGATCAACAATAAATGAATCTTTATTTAATCCACAGTATTCACTACCATTTCTTGCCGTAAGTATACCAGATAAATTAATGAATGTTAAGTTAGCCAAAGAAAGTGTAATGATAGTTATACAACAAATATAGACTGCTCGTCTATGTGTTACCCATATACTTGATTGTAATGGATAACTAACAGCAACAGCTTTGTCTCTACAAAAGTAAAGATTTATATGTCTTTCATCTCTATGTATAAACAAACTTACAAACTCATTAGTACGATAGTCCACATTGAAATCGAAATACTCGAATTCATTAATACATATAATGCTTTGCAAACCCATGGAATTAATAAAAAAATCTGATGACCTTTGTCAATTGATTGATAATTAATTTCTGCTCGAATATATTTAAGTGTAATTGCCAATATATCAAAAACAGCAAGAAAACGTAAAAATACAAGAGTAGTTGATTTACCAGATAATTTTGGTCGAGAAAGAACAATTAAACAAAGTGTATTAAGTAATATAGCTGGAACAATAAGTAGTCGTAAATATGTTGAATTAAGTAATTTGAAAAATAAATAATTAGACGTATAAACACGATTGGGTAATGAGCAGTTGGATTCTGTTAAAAATGAATCGTTATTTGTGGAATTCATTAGTCTAAATTCAATATGAATAAAGGTTTGTATTGTATGATGAGAAAACAGAAATAAACCAATATTATATTAACATTTTTTTTTTCTTCTTATCTATGCTAAACACCTATGCTAATAGTAATAATTAAGAGAAATACGAAAAAAGAGAGAAAGAATAAGAATAGAAATACTAGACTGTTAATAATATCCAGGTTATTTTTATTCAGACAAAATTTATAGTCTTTCTTACATATCTTGTTGAGCATATTGCTATTGTCTGGTCTAGGAGATTACCAGTCTTTTATTTAACTTCTGAAACAAACAGAACAGAAAAGAAATACAGCATATTCTATATACATGTCATTCACTAGTCCTCGACTTTTCTATATAATGCGTGACATTAACAGCTTACTATGTCTATCATCAGAATCTGTGTCGCGCCAGTATCTCTTTTACTCTCTAAATCTACGTAGGAAGACCATCATTTTCATCGTTTCCGCTTTGATAATTACGTATGATGCGTCATCAATCCTATCTAATTATTCCAAAGTCAAATCATTACGAAAACTTCATTTTATAAAAAAGTGTCTCATGTAACCAACTAGTCGCTATTCACTAATATTTTTTACTTTTCTATGTTTTTATACTATTCTCTTTTTCTCAAACCGGATACTATTTATAATGACAAAATAACAACTTATTATACGCATGCTTATCTTCTTACGATTGAATAAACCAAGAAAATATGTGAACAAAGAAATTCGTATAAAAATATGCGGCTAGCAATTCTTATGTTCTAATATTTGTGTAATCAAGTAAAACCGCCATCATCATAATAGATTAATATACGCACATGTTTTTTTGCCTTTAACCTAGGTACAATCCTAAAGTATTCAAAAATAGATCTTACAGTAATACTAAAATATATTCTCATATAAATAGAATCATCCGTTTATATGAGAATGAATCTTGGAAAACAAAAGTAGAAATACTCGTAGTGAACTAAAAGCAAAAAAAGATTCTTTCGCCTCTTCCTTTTAGATATAAAGAAAATCATGCACAATGATCTTCTTGTTCTCGACAAAAATAAATAATAAAAAAAGATTTTTCTTTGTTTATTTCATAAAATCTAGCTGATCTGATTTAATTATTAGTATTAACAATAATATAAAAGTTTCTTATCTCGCCGTCTGAGGTCATATTGAACTCTATTAGTTATCGATGTTTTCTATCATAGTCTCACCCCTACATATTACTATGTGAACTATTTGATGTTATTTGTTTTCCTAGGCAAAAACGTTTCCATGAATCAACTGATGAGATTAAGATATGTTAAAAGTAATTATTTTAGCTATTCCATAATTATGCATATGATAAATAATTCATTTAATCTCTTCTATAGAAGAAAAACTAAATTTTCGATTGCACGAACGGTATTATGTAATAACTAAACTGATTGCTATTTTTCTCATTCATATTTATTAATTTTATTAAAAATATTCGCCTAAACCGGTTATACATTTGCATTCAGAACACATTAGATTTTATATGAAATGTTTGTGCATTTTTTCTATCAAATTAATATATATGAAAGAAAAACCTTACACATGTTTCTATTTTGAATAAATATACTTATTTACATATGTATGAATATCTAGGAACTACGCTTATTTGTAATCGATATTAGTTGACAATCATTGGTTTAAATAGAACAACAACTTACACTGGTGCATTTCTATATTTACATGAACTCATTCATCAAAATTAGTTGATTGACAATGTCAGAATAAAAAAGTTATTGCGATAAAAATAAAATCAATCACTATGCAAATGATTTGGCTGTTTTTTGTATCGAGAAAATAAACTTCGTCGAGGTTTCTTTTGTTTTATCTCATATTAATAAAACGAATTTAGAAATTAAATAATAACACCTGATTTGATTAATATAAGAAAAAAAGCTTCTAATAAATATTAAATAATGGATATAAGCACGATAAAAACTGCGAATATATTACGACAAAGAAATAAGTCATGCAGGCAAACCAGGAAGATGGCTCTTCACTGGAAATTCTGCATTGTATAACATTTAGTGAAGTACACATATAATAGAATAATATGTGCGCAGACTACAAATGCTTCCGTGTAGAAATACGTTTTATATTGTAATTAACAGGTCTCAATGGTATATTACAATAGCTACTCGCGAATTATAGATATTTGCTCAAGGCGCTAATGATAAAATAATTTGAAGATTCTAACTGAATTAATAGGAGAAAAGATATCTAACAAAAAAAAACCGAAATCATTTGACATATACACATAATGATAACACATGTAATCGAAGCTCTTAGATTTAGATGACCTATATTATAATAAAAAGTTATTGTTATATTGATTGACAGATGATTGTATAAACAAATTGCAATATAACATATAATTAATTATCATATGGTTATTTAGTAATATTTCTCTTTCTTATGGTAAAAAAATAATTCTTATTATGAAAAATAGTCTGCTCCAAGTCACATATAATCATAATTCTTTGTTTCTGATAAAACTATCATCAATATGTCATACTAAGTGTTTCTATAGATTCAATTGTATATAAAAACATACAACTAGGAACAATCATCGCTCGGTCTATTTATATTTAGAACGATAAAAATACAAATATTATCTATTTACTGTCAACTTATTCATTAAATAAATTTGATTGATAATGAAAATATGAGTAATACTAGAAAATATCTATGCTAACAATATCTTAACTTATTATCTTTGTTCTCGTGATAAGTAAATCAGTTATGGGAAAAAAACCATTAACTTTATTGTAAATTATAGACGTGAATGATCGATAAAAAAGACGGGGACAAAAAAAAAATAAGCATGATTTTACTTAGCTGTATTATTATAGAGAACAGTTGTCCAAGAAAACTTTCTGTTAGGTTAAATATTACATCTAATTATGAGATATTCTCTGTTAGCTATTTCCGAGACCTATCAACATTTATCTACAAAACTATTTAATGAAATGTCAACTGCTATTCTGGTAAAATAATTCAACATAGATCTTAAATATTGATCAATGATAAGCAGATGTTTTTTTAGGAATATTAAATTGATAAAAAGAATTTTTGAGAAAATCTATCTGAATGTATTGACTATAGTCGAAAAGAAAAATGTCGCAAACTTCAAATATGATTTAAGATAAAAAGTTAGTAGAGTCAATGTTATGAAAGTAGTAGAAAGAAGATTTACTGGTATGCTAAATAATCGATGAAGGTGAGACGCAACTGTTCATATCGATAAAACCATGCAAAAAAACTTTTTTCATAGAATATAAAGTCATTTTAACGAATAGAAACAAGATACATCCTTGAAGGAAAAACGAACAATTAAAAAGTTAAGGTAATTAATTCTAACGAATGAATTAATTAGTAAAAAATGATAAGAGAAGCTTACATACATTTAGTTGTATAAATAATGTGATTTATGAAGTTGTAAACATTCATTTATCCTCTTATATAATTATACATAAATTATTATGGCTAGTTAAGTATAGTTTTTAAATCTTTCGATTGAACTCATACGTCCCATGTATCTTTGTAGTCATACTAATTTTCTCACGGAAATGACAGTCGGAAAAATAAATGACTACTAAACAAACTTAAACATACATAATATTGATATTTCTTATTCAAATTACTCCTACCTGTCCTCTTGTCTATAAAAACTTTCATGTTTGTCGGCATCAAGGTTGAATAAACTTCAGCCGTTCATACATGCACGGTTCTTAATTTAATTCAAAACAACAAAAAAATACAAATTTTCTCTTAGGACATGACATAATCTAAAATTTTGATGTATGGAATTTGCTTCAATAACATAAGAAAAATAATAACGATTCTAAGCATTTTATCTCAAATAATGTCATTTCGAAAATGATACGAAGATATATTATCTTTCTAGAAAAACTAGACGTATTGCATCATATGTCTATATACATTTTCTAAATAGAAAAACAAGAAGCTTAGATCAAAGAGTAAACATAGCCAGAGGTATGATTTAAGGTTTATGATAAGTCTAGGCGGGTTGATCTTCATATTTCATTGCTTATCATTTGTTACTTATGTTCTTAAAGATCTATCCTATTATTTATACATCTGCACAAGGATATATTTTACACCGAGATACCAAAGTCTCACTATTTCTACTGATAATTGGGAACATTACGAGAATCAGATACAAATATCAACAGTCCATCTCTCATAGTAAGCTGGCAGTCATAATAACCCATCATTTATCATAACAATAATAAGTATATTCTTGATGAGCGTAGCTATATTTAATTATAAACCGCTTAAGGCTATCAATAATTTGTGTACTTAAAACTATAGAAATTTTTAAAAGGATACATCGTTTGAAGAAAAAAGATTGTAAGTATTAAAATCTAGAGGAACAAATAGATTCAGAAGTTTGAAAAACTATGATTTATTCATTCTATCTAATTGTTTGACACCTACGATCATTCATATGAATTACTTAGCTTGTATATCTGTCTATAGAAACGAATTCATTTAGGAGATAATATCTAAGACTTCTAAACAATGAATTTTTGCTGAATAATAACATTAATGAGACGCATTACATGTATCTAAATGTCTCATATTACTCACCTTCTAATATTTCTTACTCCGCAATAAAAGTAAAAAATTATTTCTATTATATTTTTATGTCATTAATTTATAGGAAAAAAACTACCATGTTTTTTATCTGATATAAAATTAGCTCAATTATTTCTCTGCCGTGTTATCATATAGGTCATGACTTTTTTTTGTTGTTGATGTATATCGGGAAAAGTTAAGGACAATTACATGCTAAGAGAAAAACACTGTTCACAGAATACAAAAATTAAACAGTATTTAAATTTGCGGTAGATATGTGAATGAAATAATCATTGATTTTCTTACCGGTATATAAAAAAATTGTCGAGGTTAATAAATGTTATTCTAGATAATTTCTATTTTGTTGTTTTGTTTAAACTAGAAAATATAAAAATTTATGTGTGATGAGCATAAAGTAGGATCGAGTTGTATTGTCACGAGATTACATTTTAATTAAATGATGATTGTTAAAGATAGCGAGTAAATGACTTATGACACTTCATGAAAGTGCAAGAAGTAAAAGAAATAATCCGTTTATTATAAATAGAGCAAACAACCACTCTGTAATTAGCGAAGATAGAATGATTTTTACTTAAAAACCTGCATATAATACAGTTTGAAACATCTTCCTACTACTACTGTTTCATCTCCTCAGTACATACAAGCGATTGCTCTCAAATAGTTTATCATCAAATATGGAAAATTAATAAATTATTCTCAGAGTTCTTGGGTGCGCGTCTATATTACGTAGAAAATTATGAGACGAGTTCAAAACTATTTCTGTTGAGATCTATTCATTTCTAAGTCAATCAATAATTAATTCTTACCTGCTATGAAAACCTAAGTAGTATTCACCAATAAATAATTAGTTTCTTTTTTTTCTCACAAGCAGCATGCTAATAACCATATGTCTTAGGATAAGGAAAAGTAACGACAATTTAAAGAAAAAATTAACATCAAAAAGAAGAAGAAAAGAAGCGAAGTTGTTTGTTTTCTCTACGTGACTTGCAAGAATCTAACGCATTTGAAGGACAATTAAGACAATAAATAGAATATTTTCTTTCCCGTTGAATTGTTATTTGATGAACATACATTAATTATGATACCATATATCATATTCTTAAAATGAACATGTGCATGACGCACATTCCGATTAAATTCACCTACAACTAAAATAGATTATTGTTTTACAAATTACCGTAAAGTCAAGTTCAACTGTCTATATCAGTATGACATGTACTCAATAAAGTTATGAACAGACCTACATGTAAAGATATATATAATTTATGTTTTATAGAATATCATGAGATTAATGCACCACTTTTTACATTAATTAACATCTAAAAATACTTCAGCTTTATTATGATTCATTATATACAAAGAAAAAGCAAAATTTTCGATTAACTTCTGAATTAAAATAACAATAGAACACTTAAATGATCATGATATTCTTGTCTTGTCTTTGCGATATTGATGAATATAATCATTTATGTTTTTTTCTTTAATCAGTTTTATTTTTAGTTTTCAATACTTGATACACTTTCAAAAAATCAACAGCTAATAGTACATCTCAGTTTACATTTAAAAAAAAACGGAAATTAAGCAATTTAGATTTCAATTAGTATCCTCCTACCTCTATGATACTTTCAGTTTCATCAAATATCCGTTCTTATGCTGCTAATATCAGTTTCAAACGACCTTACTCTGTTTGTTCTTTAATAGTTTATTTTTACTTATAGGTTATCGTATTCAGTGCAAATTGATGTTGGTAATTTGAAAGCCAAATTATGGAGCTCTATTTTGATAAACAATATAAAATTCAGTTTTTCAGAAAAATATTATTTTCAATTGATACGATTGATTGAAAGATATTCCAGAATCACTTTTCTGAATAAGTTTTAATTATTATTACGTAATGACACATCGATAAAACAAAATAAATTTCTACACTATTAGAATAGATGAAAAGAAATCGAACAATACTTCATTAAATAGAGTATGAAAAGCTTTAGCGATTACACAACTTATTTTTCCGAGAAACATTCATTCGCTTCGCTCCTCACATATACCTCTCTGAATATAACGTTCAATAATCTATTTATTGGTTGTCACAGAGTCATTACAATCCTTATAAGATTTTATTTTTAATAGTCGTAGTCGTTGACTTAACTTGTGATATCTACATAGTTGCAATAATGTTCTCAGCACAATAAGAAACATTTTTCTTTACATTAAACTAATTGAGTTATAAATAATTCAATTAAACACATGAAAAATGTGTACTTCTTAAATTATTCTTCGCAGACAATTCAACAACGTTATCAATTTAATACTTGTGACATCATTGTCTTTTTAGTTAATTGTTGTCGTAGTCACATTCATCAATTATCATAACATCTGTTGAAAATGCCTACCATCATTGTATCATATTTTAAAAAGATGCTTGTTATTCTGTTTTTTCTTGCAGAAGTTCAAAGGATAATATGACAATCATCAAAATGATATTATTAGGTTATAAATTATCATAGTACGTGACATATTCATCAAATTTCAGATTCATTAATAAATAATGAAGCAGTAAGTTGATTCTATACAAGTAATATTTTAGTATTGGTATGGATGTTTTCGACACAAAAGTTATTCTATACGTTTATATGTTTTTATTCACATTTCGTGATTGAAATAAAAGAAAGAAAAAAAATAACAACATAGCAGTCTAGTGTTTAAGAGTTGAATGATCGTATCATCGTTTAAAAGTTCATTGTCTTATCTTCGCGATATTGATACATATAATCGTTTGTATCTTTTTCTTCGATCTTTTCCCAGCCAGTTTCTTTCATATGATAAACTAAGAATAGCGAAAGATGTTAATGTGATTATTAAATAAAGAAAAATTATATATACTTCGAACGATGTTGCCTGATGCTGCATCACGATGTGCAGCATGCACAATAGCACGACGAGCAAGATCAATAGCATCGTTTGTACTCATTTCATATCTATAATATACAAATCTCAAAGAGATATTTTCTTTCGATCGATAAACTTACTTGTAAGAAGCATCAAGAATACTGTATGCGTATATAGAACCACTACCAACAGAGAACATATTATCAGTAATTCGTTCACCATCATCGGATACCATATATAAACCAGGACCCTAATTTAATCACAGAAAGAAAAATACTTTATTTTTGTTAATTTCTTAAACATACTCGTTTATCCCAGCCGACAATCATTGTACCCATAGATAAGCCCATACCACGATATTCAAAGATCATATTGACGAGAATTTTTGAGGCAGCAGCAACAGAAATTTTTTCTTTATTACGTAGTTCATAAATACGACAATGACGTGCAAGTACTCGTTCCCAAAAAGCGCAATCAGCAGCACCACCAGCCATTGTTCCCAATAAATAAGGATTGATTTCAATTACTTTTTTTACTTCACCCGATGCTAAAAAAATGAAATATAAATTCAGACTCTTTTTTTCTTAAAGTTCAAAATAAAACAAACCAATAAAACCACCGGCAGTTGCACGACTGTCAACAGCAACTATAACACCATTACGAAATTTAAATGCTAATGTTGTTGTTCCTTTGAGAAATTGAATTCGAACACGATCAACACTTTCATTAACCATTTTTAAATATTTAGCCGGCTACAAATAAAATAAATAGATAATAATAATAAAACTAAACAAAAACCTTACATCAGCATATGGTGGTAAAGTAATAAATTGAGCTATATTTTCAATATTCAATTTTGGACAGATCTCATCAATATTGGCATCGGTTTTTTCACATTGAAGTGATCGATTGAATGTTTCATTTGATTTGAAACCAAGTACGCTTGCTAAAGCCATATGTTTCTTTTTTTTTCTCTGAAAACGAAGTTCGATCGTAAGTTGAAGTTGAACTCTTGGTGTTATTAATAACACAAACCTTGTAAAGATTGGCCGAATTATTATACCATTCATCAATATATGTGGGCGAAGAAAATAATAAAAATAAATAAATAAAATTTTTTATTTCATAATTTCGATTTTAAACGATTAATTTTATATTATTTTCAAATATTAAATTTTTCTTCTTGTCGCCACAATCAATGTGAAATAAAATTATTTTCCGAATTGATTATAAAATATCATAAATAATTTTTATTTCGTTTTTTCTATTCAAAAAATATTGGATTTAAATATTTTTCTTCTTATTATTTTATCATATTAATCCATGAAATACCATCATAATTTTTCCTCCTCCATTTAAAGATCAATCAAAAGAAAAGAAATCTATCTAATGTCGAAAGTTTCTTTTTTCTTATCAAGCATTTCAATCTTTTAGATAAGCCGCTAATTTTCGTTATCATGCATGCGGTTTAATTAACTACAAATTAATCAATTATCTTCATCAACATGTGTTTATTTTATTTATTTTCAATAAATAAACAATAAAAATATTATTTTGTTTTCTTCTGTCTTCTTATTACAACAAAATATGACTACATCACCATCATCAGGTTTATCACCTGAAGCAAAAGAATTTGTACCATTAGTACAAAATTCATCAATAAGCATTCCATTATATGTTGATGAAAATACAGTTGCATCTATATATCCTTCGGATCAACAACCATTAATGGTTCAAGCAATATATCCAATGTTGGTAACAAATTCAAAAGGAACAGATAATATACAATTTCCTGAAATTGAATTTCATATCCAACCATCACAACAACAACAATTTCATATTGATTCATGTGCAAATATTCAACAATCATCTTCTTTGAATGGTAATTCATCATCAAATTCAACATCTCAAATTGTTCTTTTACCAACAACAAATTCACCAGCAGGATATTATCCAGGTCCACAAATAATTTATTCGCCAAATGAACAAGTAAATGCATTTTATCCAATTGATTATTGTGAACAACCATTAATTAATTTTTCAATTCAACAACCAAATCAAATGAATAAATCAAATCGAATCTCATCATCTCAACCACAAAGGCCATCTTCATTTCGTCAACAACATACAACATATCGTCCATCATCTCGTGGCGGTGGTGGTGGTAATCGCGGAAATGGAAATCCGAATAATAGAAATTCTTATTATGATTATAATAATCGTCGAAATGGTTCATCATATGTATCAAATTCTGGACGAGGAAATCCATCAAATAGTAAACGAATACCATCGTCATATCATCAACATGATTATAATAATTATTACCATTCATCATCAAGATCAAGAGGTTATTTACCACGTTCATCACAACAACAACATCAGCAACAACAGCAACAACAACAACATGATGAACATCGAAAAGATCATTTTGATTATTATAATCATGAGAATAATGATTATCGACAATCAGATCATATCAATGAAGATGGAACTCCATTTGAATTTCGACCAGAAGACTTTCCAAGTCTTCCTATTAATAATAATCAACAATCTGATAATAAAACTCCAACACAATCAATTGCATCATTGAATACAAAGTAAAATTAATCAACAAAAAATATAAATTTTCTAATCTCTTTTTTATTGTAGATCGGCATCATCTTGGAATGAAATTGTATCTGCATCACGTCGTCGTTCAACTTCTCCACAATCGATTGCTCCATCTCAAGATCAACGATCTGATCGAAGTCGTTCATTTAATAATAAATTATCAATAAATAATGAACGAAAATTATCTAATAAAATACCGAATCTCCAACCAACTATAAGTAAATCACCAAATCGTGCTTCCAAAATAAATTCTCAAGATGAACAACAACAACAACAACGTTCCTCATCATTAACAAATAGTGATCCTCCAATAATTGAACATAATAATAATACTAAACTTAATGATATTAAAGATGATGGTTTTATTCAAACAAAACATCAACATCGACGTTTAAAACGTAAAAATAAAATAAAAGAAGAATCAACATCATTTACGGAACAATCCAATGAAATTGAATCAGCTCCATATGCTCTTGATGATGAAAATGCTTTTCCAACTTTAGGACAACAAATAATTAATCCGAATAATTCAGAATTATTATCAAAATCAAAAACTCATCAAACTTGTGTATCTGATATGTTCAATGCATTAAGTACATCAACACAAATCAAACAGCAAAATTCACATTCTAAACCAACAACAACAACTAATGATAATCATGTTGATTCAAAAGTCATACCAAAACGTAGTAAAGGACATGAGCAACCAAAAGCACGTAAATCAACTAAAGTTAAACGTATTCTTAATAAGAATATTGAAGAAAATCAAAAACAATCAAATCTAACAGTAGAAAAAGATATTCAAAATGAAACTGATATAAATACAGCAAATATTACAGAAGAGTAAGTTAGTTATTTTTACTTCGTTAGATCTAAACCTATTTCTATCGGATCATTTCCGTTGTACTTTGATCTTTTTGTTATAAATTGATTTTACTCGTTTGACATACTTAACCGATGATTTATTATTAAAAACGTTTTCAGAATCGTAGCAAAAGACAATTGCAACATAGATTATCTAATAATGTTAAAGTTCGTGTTGATTTGTATAGACAGAACATGATTATTTTAAGAATTATTCATGTATATCATTTTCTTGAACTGTGCCAGGTCAACTAGAACAATCAATGAATAAGAACAAAAACGCTCGTTTTATATTTCCTTAATTGAACAATTAACATTTTTCTCTCTAATTGAATTTTACATTTGATATAGATTACTTGTATTACGATGTTTTTTTTATTTCTTCTAGAGATCATCAAAATTCAAATCCATTATCTTCAAGCAGTAATAATAGTAGTGACACCAGTGATTATGATGATGCGGTTGACAATTTGAATGATGAATAAATGAATGAATGAATGAAAAAGTCTTTATGAATATATACATATTTATTTATTTTTTGTTTTGTTTTGTTTCGTTTCTCATTTATTGTTGTAGACAATATGACGATTATTTTTAGTACAATCTTTGTTGTTTGTTCGTCTTGTTTTTTTTTTCTTGCTGACCTTCCCTAAGTGCAATATAAGCGCGAAAAAGAAAGCCATAAGTATGAATAAAGAATTGTTTTTTTTTTGATTTCCATTTTATTGTAGACAAAAAGGAAAAATAATACAAAAAAAAAGAGAAACGATATATGTCTTTCAGGATATCTCTTTTATTTTACTCATATCTACGTATGTCAATTTTATTTTAAATTTTTTTTTGTGGGCACTTACATGTTTTATGTAAAATGTTTATTTCAATTTTTCTTTGTCGTTTTTTTTTCTTCTTCTCTCTCTTTATTATTATGAATATTATCATTAATATTATTATTATACGCAATAAAAATAAAAGCGTTTCTCGTTGTGAAAAATAATTATTTTATTGTTTAAAAATTTAATTAACTCGTCTTAGGTACTGATTCAAGAAATCTTATATTTCTCGTATGTATGACAGCGACGCTTCTCTATGTACCAGTTACACTCCATCAGAGAGGCTACTTTACATTCTCATTGGCGATTTATCCTTTCAGTAGGGATAGTGATTCACTTAAAATAAAATTAGTTAATCTTGAAGGTGTGTGTATGATTACTACTGCTATTGCAAAGATTTAGAATGTAACACCCCTGGATAAACTTTTCGATTCACATCGAAATCCATTATTGATACTTGTATGAATCAAAACTAACTTTTGTAATGGCATAGAATTGACTTGATTTAAATGCAAAATAGTCTTATTCGTTTTTTTGAAAACTCTATATTAATATTTATGATTGTATTCTAGATGGATATCCTATCATCAGTCGCGTGGGTTAAACGTGGGGCTGCCAAAGCAACTCCAATTAAAGTACTTTATTTCTCTAGTTTATTCGTCTATATTTTATTACTTTAAATATTTTAGTTTATGCCAGATGAAGAAGAACTTAATAGTATGATTGATAAAAGCGGGTAAATTTTATTATTTAAATAATTAAAAATAAAATTCGTAAATATTGTAGCGACCATGATGATGATGATGATGAACACAAAACAAAAGATGTTGAGATGGATGTTGAGAAAGATGATGAAGATCGTAAATATACAAAGAATTTCTAAATTTTCATTCGTATTCTTTTTTTAATTACAGCCGACGATGAAGATAATGTTATCATACCCGGTGTAGGTCCTATTGGCATGTATGCTTCTAATCGTGATGATCCTTTACTTGAAATAAAAGATGATGTAAATTTTCTTCATTTTGTTGTTTTAATCATATAAAATATGATATATTTAGGGTGAAGATTCAGATGCCGAAGATTTTCTCATTCGACCAGATGATAATCTTATCGTTGCTGCACATATTGAAGATGATACTTCTAGTCTTGAAGTTTATGGTAAATTTTAATATATATGCATATAATTTCATTTTCAACATGTAAATACTTTAGTATACAATGATAAAGAAGGTTATCTCTACGTACATCATGATATATTAATGTTGAATATGCCATTATGTTTAACATGGTTTGATTATGATATCAATGATGGAAATACAGGTTTAATTCTAAAAATGTAACATATTTTGTATTCTGTTTCGTTTTTCTAGGTAATTATGTTGCAGTAGGAAGTATGGAAGGTATGATTGAATTATTTGATGTTGATCTTGTTGATCAAATGGAACCATTATATACATTTGGAAAAAAATCAAAGAAGAAAAAATCGAAAAAATCTTCCAAAGTTTGTTGCGAAAAGAAACAAATCAGATTAATAACATTCTTCTTTTGATTCAATAGAAAACAAACAGTAAATCAGGTGAAGGTCATGATGCTGCAGTACTTGATTTATCATGGAACAAACTTGTCCGACAAATAATTGCATCAAGTTCTGCTGATGCAACTGTTGCCTTATGGGATTTAAGTCAAATGAAAATGGCTTTACATTTAGATAAAATACACGAAAAACAGGTTGGTAAGTGCTAAGATGAATCTAATGAATTTTTTTGTTACATAAAATATTTTGTTTTCTTTTATTAGATTCAATCAATATGTTGGCATCCAACTGAACCACAAAATTTACTTTCCGGTTCAGCAGATAAAACTGTATGTTTAGTTGATTGTCGTGATGCAAATAATAAATCAAGTCAACATCGATGGACATTTGATTCTGATATTGAACGAGTTACATGGAATATATTTGATTCGAATCAATATTTAGTAAAAATAGAAAAATGATTGTTTTTAAGAAAATATTTTTCATTACTAGGCATCAACTGAAAATGGTTATGTTTATGCTATGGATATTCGACAAACAACAGTACCTGTTTTTAGTTTATCCGCTCATGATAGTGCCGTAACAGGTAAGAAGATTTTAAAAGATCAATAAATTAAAATATTCATTTGAATATTTAGGTTTATGTTTAAGTCCAACAGTACCAGGTTTTCTCGTAACAGCATCCTTTGATGAAACTGTTAAAATATGGGATATTGAAAATGGAGGTGTTACATTTATTGCCGAACGACAATTTCAAACAGTAATATGAAATTATTTTCTATTATTTAAAATCATTATTATTTTTCGTAGGGTCAAATCAATACATGTATTGCCAATCCAGATTTTCCATTTACATTTGCTATTGGTGGACAATCTAAAGGTTTACAAATATGGGATTGTACCGAAAATGCAAATGGTATGATAATATCTACACTAATATCACTTAGAGATGAACGAAATACTTTATTCTTTGATAAAATCTGAATAGTAACAAAGTTTATAGATAAGACCAGGGGTGGCGCGAGTCAGTCAACATTGGGGGAGGAGGGTAGCGAAATTTTTTGAATTTTTGGCAGGGTGTAGCATCATCTTTGATCAAAAACCTAAGAAGATTTGCCGATTTTGTTGACCAAAAAATAGAGATTTTCGAAGATTGGGGGGATGGGTGTCAACCCCTGACACCCCCCTCGCCAGTCGCGTCATCCCTGGATAAGATTCTATAAGCAAAGATAGGATATCTATGACCTAGATTTATAAGTTTTTCTTTTTCTTTTTTAGTTCGTTCACGATTTGGTACTCGAGCAAAATTCGAAATGGTTGAAGTAGTAGAAGAAACTGCATCTGCTAAACCTGTTGTTTCAGCTTTTCCAACTACTTCTCCTAATGTAACATCAGCTGTTTTGAAAGCTCAACGAAAAAAATCATCTAAAAAAAAATAAATAAATTGTTAAACTTCTAACTCATGAATCATTTTTTTCTTTATTTTCTACTTTCATAATGAGTCACCTTCGTTACAACGTCAACATATTGACGTGTCATAGGTAGTTATTACTCAATGCTAAAGAAAATAATCTATATAAATACATAAAAGTGTATGTATAATTTAACTAAATATGCAGCGTATTACCTCGTGGTTTTCTAAGAAGACTATTCAACCACCAATAACAATATCTCGTAAAGATTTTATTGAATCCTTAATTGTTCATAAACAGGTAAAAGAATTCACATCATGTTTACAAAAGAAAGATGAGCGATCATGGTGTATTGATGGATATTTTAATTTATTACCAACAATACTTGATGAAAAGTATATGGCTGATATATTTGATATAATTTCGAAAAACTCACGTGTAACGTCTAAAGAATTATCGAATATAATTGTCTCTAAATTAGTCAATGCTATTCATGATGTGAATTTTGATTTATTTGAAAAAATTTTACATTTACCATTTCAATCATCGATACAACTTCCTATACAAACTTATGATTTAATTCGATTTCTTCATACATGTTCAAATACCGATCAATTAATGCGATGTTTATCAGTTTTAATTGAAAAAAATCTTCGACATGATCCAGAATATTTATCATGGTTATTAATAATTCTCTTCGAACATTATAAAACTGGCGATGAAATAGTTATTGAATATTTATTAAATATAAAAAAAGATATTAATATATTATTTACATGTTACGGAAATCATCGTGTTACACCCTTAATGCTTTTCTTTCATTTAAATTCAAATAATAAATGTCAAATATTAATTGATAATTATTTATCGAATATTAATGATCAATCAGTATTACTTCAATGTGATCAATGGAATCGTTCATATTTAATGCATTTATTATGTGGTCAATGTCAACATGACCCAATTGGATATTCAACAAAAATTCTATCGAATGATATAACAGAAATGGAAAAAGATTTAATCGATCAATGTCCACATGCTTCAGATATTCTTTCGAAATTTTCAATGCTTCATAAATTAGGTAATAAATGTGATACACCTGTTAAGACAATACTTAAATCACTTTATTGTCTTCCACTTCGAATTATTCTACTAAATTATTTAAGAAAAAATGATCCGTTATTTGAGATGAATTTTGAAGAATTATTTAGTTATTTCCCTTCGAATTCGATCCCAACATATTCTAATTATCTTAAACAATTAACTCATAATCATAATTTAAATCATGCACTTACCTCTGTCATTGTCAATCAAACATGTAATCTTCATTCTATGGAACATACATTTACATTTCTTGTGCGAGAAGGTGCTCGTATAGAAAATATGAATAAGGTACAGTTTGGAATCAGTAATTTACTTAGACACTACCCTTCAAAAATTCCATTTATACTACTTGATTATGGTATGTATATAGATCTACCTTTTGATCAATCGATAAATCAACTTAATCCAAGAATAATTTTATACATATGTCGAGTTATTCAATGCGGATATCCAAGTGAATTTCGAACGCAATTTGATTTATTTAAAAGTCGTCTAGATTCACAAACAGTAGAATTAATCAAGACATTTATTGATATAAAAAATCCACAAAAATTAAAAAATTTATGTTATCAAAAATTGAGAGGTTCATTAATACATCTAGGAGATGATACACAAGAAAAACTAAAAGATCATCTATCCGATCGATTACGACGATGGATAACACTATATGGATATAACGAATGTTCAGTATATTACCGAACGGTCATGCATTAAGCTATTAATTATTGTTTTTCTTTCCAAAATGTAAATAAATATCTAAAATATTCTTATTGTATTCTTATAAAGTTGCAACTAATAAATACGATGTGAACTGTTCTATAGAAGTTCATTTTGTAAAAGATGAAAAAAACGGACATCTGTCGAATCTTTTATTCTATAAGATTCATTTTAGCGGCGAACGGACAAAACAATAGGAGATTATCTTTCGTCAAATTTGAAGTTTTTCATTAATTCAAACTAATTATGGCTAATGTTCGAAAATCAGTTGGTAAGTATAGAAATAATTAAATATTTCTAATATTTAGTTTCCTCTTATAGATGGAAGAAAGAGAGCTCGAACGATGGAATATATTGATAATGATGTAGATATCAATGAAGAAGTACCTAGTCAATCAAATAATCATATTGGTCAACATATTCATGCACAATTTGATGTTAGTATGTCAATTATCGATGAAACAAATTTGAATGAATCTATATTTGAACGACGTACTACTTCAGTGATACCGAAACCTGTAAAAAAGAAAAATAATGAACGTTTATCTCTTCCACGACAAATGAGTGATATTTCTTTAAATCAATTTATTAGTACTACAGCTAAAACGACAACTGAATTAAGAGGACGTGATCATGTACTTCGTGCTATGAAACCAATAAATCCTAAACCAATTATGGAATTTAAAAATCATAAATTAATTCAAGATATGATTGCTAAACGACAAGAAAAACAAGAAACGAATAAACCAATATCTGATTTTGCATTAAATTATGGTTTAATAGATAATAATGGAAAAATATCGAAAAGTCGAAAAACATCGGATTTTATGTAAATATTTTTCTCGGAAATTTTTATTTCTAAATCTATTTTTTAAATTTCAAGTATTGATATGGCTCAACAATTAGAAAATTTAAAACCAACATTAACAAAACGACAAACAGTTGATAGTATATATCGAATAGGTTTTTCAATGTGAATTTTAATCTATGTTTTTCTAGCAACAAGTCCATTATTAAGAGTAGTTAAATTAAAATCTGTATGTAATCAACTTCTTTGTTATTGTCAATATATAAATGATCGAGAAGATATTATACTTTTTCTTGATCCAAATAATGAACAATCAAAAAATTTAGCAGTTAATGATGAAATTCGTATTGCAGGACAATCACGGTATACATATAAATATATTTCCTTTTCTATAATATGTCTTGTTTTATTAAATAGATTTAATATGAATTTATCAGAATTAGGATCAGTTGCATTGGGTATAACTGATGTAAGAAAAGAATCATCAACAGATCATAACGATGAAGATATTCCTATGGAAATAACTCATACATATGATTTTAATTGTTCATGTGATAAATGTACTTCAAATCCAGATTTAAGTAAAAGAAAACATTTAATTTCATTCAAAATCTTTTTTTGGTATTTTCAGCACCATCATTTGATCTTCGCAAAACATTTCCTGATAATAATAATGAACATCAACAAACGATGTCTTCCGTAGAAAATGTTTATGAATCATTTACATTAGCTTTAATGACTAAAAAAATATTTGATCTCTATGCTACAATCATTATATTTGAATCTGATAATATTAATAACAAGTATTTTGGTTTTTTTCTATTGAAGATTTTTAATTCATTTTAATATTTATTAGATATATATTTATTGTACGTGATGGGATTGGTAATTGCCTTCAAATTATATTAAATGATATCGATGGTCTTCATATTGAAATTCAAACACAAAAATATATATTTCATAAAATTGAATATCTTGAACGAATTCCATCACCAAAAGAATCGAATCGATGGCCATATGAAGACTATACACCACCGAAAAAACTTTTTTGTTTCAGATCGATTGATAATCAAGTATCTATACTGTGATCTTTATCTTCATTTTTTTTGTATGAATTTGTATGAATGTTTTTACAGTAAGATTAAGTGAACAGATTGTAAAATAAATGTAAGCATTTGTTGAAAAAAAATTCAATTAAGAATAGTTTTGCATCTGAATCTGAGATAGAATTAAATTCGGTCAAAAAAAGTGAGCTCGAAATTTGGAGTTCACGGATGTCTAGTTTTAACTGAAAATCTCAGCTCCGAACTTTGTCCGTCTGTTTCCGATTGCTCATATAAATACTCTGAGTCGACCGATGTTATTCAAGAAAAAAAACCATAGAGTTAAACGTTAGAATTTGTTGAAATATCACAAAATCGTAAACTCCAAATTTCAAGCTCACCTTTTTTGATCATTATATTCTGCATTTCAGTTATAACAATTGATCCGAGTCAAAAATTTAATGTATTATAATTATATCGGAATAAAAACTGGTTTTAGAAGAATATATTTCGACAATATTAATTCTATAGATGGCGCTTTATGTCATAGTTTATCATAGGTCGGTTATATTACTGACAATAACAAGTGCTATACTTTGGAGTGGCAATATGATCGATGCGTAAAACCTTATTTTAGTCTTCTAGATAATTGTTTGTAAACATCATACAATGCCAAGTACACCAGACAATGATCTGAGATCTACACAAAGCTCTCGTATTGTACGAGTTCGTGATGTAAGTTTGTTTTGAATTGTTATTGAAAAAATTTATTTTCTTTTTCTATAATACTAGTTACCTATTTATTATGATACGAAAACTGATGATATTTATCGTTATGTTCCACGAATTGATGATGATCAACAGAAAACAATAAATAATAATAATAATAATAATTGGCTTTATTCATCAATTAGTCAAACAAGACAATCAATACAACAAACATGGAATGATAATAAGGTATACATTTCAAATTTTCTTGTACAATTTCTCTTATTATGTATATATATATACGTAGGATTTACGTTTAAGAATAGCTCGTGGTTTAGAAACAGGTGAAGCTCATTCAAAAGGTAATTACTTTCTAATAAATTTATTTTATCTTATTTTTGTTATTAATATGTAGCTACAATTGATTATATCCGTGATGATGAAACATTTTTACCCAAAGTTGGCGTTGTTACTATTGCTGGACTTGGTGGTCTTCTTCTCGGTCATAAAGGTGGTCCTATACGTAAAACATTTTATTCATCAGTAGCTGCACTCGTCGCATTAAGTGCATGTTATCCAAAACAATCAGCTAATTTACTTGATCAAGTTTATAATCGTCTTAAGAATGAATCAAAAAATCTTTTCGATAGTAAATTAAATTGATCTTTTTTATTCTATATAAAATTTCTATTCTATAGCAACAACAACTCAACCAACAAAAATTGAATATAAAGATCGTATTTTACATACAACTAAAACTGAAAATGAACCAAAAGTTATTGTCAAAGGTGATTATGGACAAGGCACGCCAGCTGATCAACATTTATATACAACACGTGGCATTGTTAATCCAACAGTGTTGGATACGGAAAAGAAAATTTGAACTGTTTTTTTCTCTCTCACATATTACTAGCTTGATCATTTACCAGTTAGTTATGTATTTCATTTTCTTTCTTAAGAATTCTTTAAAAAAAAGCAGGCAAGAAGATTTTAGTTTTACTAATCATTTATCAACTGTATCTATTGTAGATATTTGAATTTAATTTATAAGAAAATATTGCCAACGGTTTAATCGAATCTATACTTAACTGATCGATCTTTGTGAATTATCGAAAATATTCTACAGATTAAATTGGCTTTCTAGATGAGATAGAAGATTATTAATATGAACAAATTTTCATGAGTGATATGAGTTTATACCGGACAGAATTATATATCTCTGTTAGAGAAGTCAAGACGATCGAACGATTGTAAATAACTCACTAAGATCTATGACTTAAGTATATACGCAAAGAATGACTAGACAATAGGCAATATTCTCTTGTTAGAATAAAAAAAATTCTGTGTGTAACTCTTTTGAATAGGAAAAGATTCTATCAAAATATATGAGTTGTTAATTACAATTGAATTTATCTTGTAGATTAAATGATGAATGCTGCCATTTAATCATTCGCGATTATTTTGTTTAATATTATTATTAATTTGTTTATTAAAAATGACGTCAACAACAAAAACAGCTTGGCCAGAATTAGTCGGTAAAACAGCTGATGAAGCTGTTAAAGTTATTAAAGAAGAATCAGGTAGATGATTTTCAAGAAGAGAATTTTTTCAAAATTATTATTAATTTGTTTTAGGTTTAGAAAAAATTCATGTATGTGGACCAGGTTCAAGAACTACACGTGATATTGATGATGAACGTGTACGTGTATATGTCGATGAAGATAATAAAGTAACATCGGGACCAACATGTGGATAAATAAAAACAATTGAATATTTCTCTTTATGTATAAATAACTAATATTTAATAAAACATCTCATGTTATTCAATTAAATAATAAACTTTTTGTTCATTCTTTGTATCTCATTAATACCTTGAACAATAACATCAATCAGGTCGGTTAACAAAACTGGAGCATGAACTGTTTGTACACAAATAACTATTGTCATTTTGTTTACTGACATACATCTATTTATTTTGATTCGCACTCGCTATTATTGATCGAAATCTGTGTCATCTATACAAGCATGCTTAGCTATTATATACTAAATCAACAATAATTTATTTCTTTATTCATAATCAAAATCTTTTTGTTGCTATGAAATCCGAGTTTTGTCTTATGTAAACAAATTTATATCAATGGTTACTCCTATGAAAGAGTGAGCAGGTATGTTTACAAGTAACGCTCGTCCGAGGACTCGCTTAGCTCTTTCTCGTAGAAAGGCATTTACTGAAAAAACAAATGAAAACCGTGAAAAATTGATTTTCGATGTTTTTTTGACCCTGTGGACAGACAATTTATGTTTACTGAACTCTTCTCTACGAGAAAGAGAATATAGATGAATATATCTAATCAACTAATGTTTTTCTGTGAAGACAAATCGTATAATTATGAATTTCTAAGTTGATAATTTATTTTTAGTACTATCATGTTACTCTGACTTCGAATGTTTGTTTTTACTATTCAAAAGGATCAAACACATTTCGATTAACATATACATATAACCAAAAAATTCAAAATGATAATTTTCAATAGTAATCGTTTTTAGTAACTCAAAAGTTAAATATTCATGTTCTCTATTTTAATATTTAATTACATAATCCATCAAATCATCTGTCAGTATAAATAATCCATCATAATCATGTATGTTAAATCTAAATGCAAATATAAAATGTGACAGAAATATTCTACATATATCATATTTGAATAACGTAGCTTAATACGATCAGTACTAGTTCATATATATTTCTAGATGTTCAATAAATAATATGTTGAACACTCAATACAAAGTGAAAACATGAAGGAAAATAATTTGTAATACGTATGACCTTATACTTGTCATTATCTGTTAAAAATTCAATTTTTTCTATCTAATACAGAAGAGTTGTCCTTCTGATAAGCTTAACTGTAGAATAATAAATGAGATTATCATTGTTCAACAGTGATATCACTAATCAAATCTTCTACAAGAAGATGTTTGCAGAAGAATAAACAAATATCTCTATGATATATTTTTCATTAGCATAAGAAGAAGAATACACTGACATACATGGTCCTTGAATACATGAAAATTAATCATATTGTTAATTTGTTTAATATCTAATAGAGAGAAAAAAAAATATCTATTTAAAATACATTGATTTCATGAATAGATAATCTAACCTTTTATTTTTAGTTTTCAATAAAAAAAAATGATAATCACACATCAATTATTGTCGTATTGTTGTTCAACAAATATAGTCGCTTTAGTCTAGTATAGAAGGTTTATGCGACGATAGATCAAAAGTGTTTGTCTGTGTGTGCGATGAGATGATGATGATGCTAATGTTCAATCAGTAATCCAACTGAAAAAACAAGGTGAGCTGTCTCTTTCTTTCTCTCTGATCAAAATGTATACATATATGAATACTGAAACAATAAACGGATTTCTTTTTTATTCTTCTCTCTTTCTCATCATTTGCATATCATTAATGTATTGAACATCGGCATTCAAGGTAGAATAGCCGACTACATAGATAGTACAGAAAATGGATTATTTGTATTAGAATGACAATTGTCGTTATTTATTTATACATACCTATTTCTCTCTCTCTCTCTTTTCAATACAGTAAATATTAGTTCTATCAAAAAAATGTAGAGAGTGAGAAAGAATTGTCATCGTGCATTTCTTCATATCATACACAACAAGTTGTGTCGCACAACGAACAGTGTATTAGTAAGTATCATAGAACATTTTGAAAAAAAATAGATAGCTGTACTTATATACATGATGCAATAGCTGTTTAAAACGAAGCCATGTCAAGACTGTTTACAAAATACTAGAGAGTCTTTTTGTTCTATGAGAATATTTCTCTCTCTCGTTTCAATTTCAGATCAAATAACATTTGAGTTATTCAAATTATAAAATAATAGAAAGAACGAAAAATGGCATCGACGAGACATATTATCATATCGTTTTTCTATTTTAGAATATCTTTTAAACTACGATGTCATCGAATAACATTTTTTCATCACCAATTATGTTTATAACATTTTTTATCATTTTTTCATTTATTAATAATTTAACAAATGCTCAAAGTATGTATAGTAGATTTATATGTATAATTAGAATGTAGTTGATTGTATTTTTTAAACAAATTAATATTCTTCTATAGTATGCACGTCAGATGTATGCAATAAGCATGGTACTTGTATACCGAATATATCTAGTTCATTTACTTGTCAATGTGATCCGGGTTTTGCCGGTCCAACTTGTAATCAAGGTAGTTTTAAAAAACATACAATAGATATATGTATACGTAGCTTATTTGTATGATTAGAATTAGATGAATGTGCATCGCAACCATGCGCAAATAATGGTACTTGTACAGACTTAGAAAATGGTTTTCTTTGCCATTGTCTACCTGAATGGAATGGTACTTTATGTACAGAATCAAAGAGTAGGTGTAGTTTTATTCCTAAGATAAAATAATAGAACGTTTTAAATGAATATATATAAATATTTCCAATAATATTAGACCCATGTCAATCATCACCATGTGGTTCACTTGGTAAATGTATTCCAACGAATCAACCACAAATACCCTATTACTGTCAATGTCCAGATGGACAAAATACGATGTTTAAATGTGCTGATCCAAGTATGTTTTTTTTAGTTTAAGAATTAGTCACAATGTACCAATAATAAATTCTTTTTTAATAGATCCTTGTCTACCAAATCCATGTGGTCTTGGAAAATGTGAAATTACTCCAGATATACTCAATGGTTACATTTGTCGATGTCATGATGGTTCAATTCAATTAACAAATTGTTCTACACCAAAAAGTAACTATTTTCTCGTAAAAAAATAATTTAAATTAAATTTATAATAAAATTTTAGATCCTTGTGCAGCATTACCTTGTGGACCACAGGGACGCTGTATAACTCTTTCAGCAGCTCCAAAAGGATACATGTGTATGTGTCAAAGTGAGGGTATTACTTTTACAACTATTGATACATGTCCAAGTAAATTAGATTTTATGAATGATTTTTTTTTCGATATATATATTTTGTTTTTATATTTAATAGCAACAAATTCAATTTGCACTCATCTAACATGTAGAAATGGTGGAACTTGTGTGCCATATTCTGCTAATGAACCATCATGTAATGTTGGACAAGTTGGTTCTATTTGCTGTCAATGTAATTTGTTTTAACAAGAAAAAAATGAATGTATTTGTTTTTATTTTTATAACTAGGTCCTCCTAATTATACCGGCCTGCGATGTGAACGAGGTTTGTTATTGCATTTTTTTTCTCAATTAAATGAAAATTGTTTTTTTTATAGAACTTGATTATTGTACATCAAATCCTTGTAAAGCAAATGGACGTTGTCTTTCAGGTAAATCTGGATATCGATGTCAATGTTATGAAGGATTTACAGGCGAAAACTGTGAAGGTAATCAAAATATATTTATATAAATTTCTTATAAATATTTATTTCATATAGCTCGAATATTGAGCTCAGGTTGTTTATCAAATCCCTGTACAGTTGGTATTTGTTATCAATTGAATCAAAATGGACCTACGTATGTTTGTATCTGTCCAGATGGAACACTTAGTTTATCATGCAATTCAACAAGTAAATTTCATACTTATTTAAAATTCTAATTTCATATAGAAAAAACATTAGATTCAACTCGAAATCCATATGCAATTCCGACTATACCACCACAACCAACAACTTCCATACCTACAATGATGTTTGCTAATAATGGAAAATATGGTGGTGGTGGTGAAGGAAATAGAAATATTCTTCGACCTGCTTCAACATGTACTCCATCATCAAAAGATGCATGTAATGGTGGACAATGTGTATTAGGTACTGAAGGAATATATATGTGTCGATGTCGTGAAGGTTATACAGGAATTTATTGTGAAAGCAGTTGAGTATAAATAGAATAAAAATAGATTTTAATAATAATTTTAATTCGATATTTTCTTAGATATAAATGAATGTGCATCAAATCCTTGGTAAAAATGAAGACGGTTGCTTTTTTTAAATTTTATATTTTTTTAAATATTTAGTTTGGGTGGTGGTACATGTTATGATCTTGTTAATGCGTATGCATGTTTTTGTCCTGATCGAATTTTTCGACCACAATGTAATACAACTGGTATATCACCAACGATTCAAAGTAATCCAGTTCTCATGGTTACTAGCAATCGTAAGTCATATCAAATTTGACACAAAGATATATTTAGAATAATCTGAACTGTTGTGTTTTATTATAGCTAAAACAAATTATAATAATAATAATGATGACAAATCATTATTGAGTGAATGTAATTGCCGTAATGGTGGTTTATGTTTTACAAGTCCAACTGGTAGAAAACTTTGTCAATGTCCTAATGGATTCAGTGGATCATTCTGTGAACGATCACTTAGTATGTTTTCTTAATGAGTTCATTAAATAATTTGAAATAAATATTTCTTTAGATACTGGTATAAATCCTGGTCAATTAGCTTGTAGTCAAGCATTATGTCAAAATGGTGGTACTTGTCAAGAACAAGGATTAAGTGCTATTTGCAATTGTAAACCGGGATATACAGGTCAACGATGCGAATCTGGTAGATAAAATTAATAAATATCTTTTTTTTTTCAATTATAAAAATCTTTTTTTTTAAGAATATTTTCGTTGTCAAGCAAATGGTCGTTTTGCTGATGCATCAAGTTGTAAACAAGGTCGATATTTTGAATGTGTTTATTTCGGACAATGTAAGTTTATACAAAAAAAAACAAATTTAATTATAAATCTATTTTAATCTAGATGATTTGGGTCTACCAAATGGAGTTCTCTATAGTCGTAGTTGTCCACCTGGTCTTTGGTTTAATGCATTGAATGATCGATGTGATTATCCAAGTGTTGTTCGATGTTAACTGGAAAATTTTTTATAATTAGCCTTTTACATTTTTTCTTGACTGTCGTTGTTGTTTTTTTTCTGTTTATTTCTCGGTGCTATGTTCTCTCGCTCTTTTAACTCAATACTATTAGACGACTATTTGTAGATGTTTCAACACTTTCTTTTGCATCTTCTTATTCAATAAACATTCTTTAAGGAAACGAAATAAAACAAAATTTTTGTTCTTATATAGTAATATGTTTGAATCATGAACGATTAATCACATTAGAATCAACAACGAACGACTAAAAATTCACATCACAATCAATCAATCAATTGATTCTTCGCTTTTTCTCTTAAGCTAGTAATATGAAGTATAGATTTTTTTTTCTTGTCTATTACATAGCGACATTAGAAAAGAAACAGAATATATATATATATATTCTACAAATACTCTAGTGAGTCCCTGTGCAATGAGCTAACTTCCTGTTTTTTTTTGCCTTTGTTCTTACTCAATATGATGATAGAAACTAACAGATTCATAGAAAAAGAAATAGAAGAAAAAAGCAAACTAAAATATTTCTTTCTATTTCTCTTTAGAGATCAAAATAGAATAGCTACGAGAATATTTCGAAGCAATACAAGTGTTAATGTTACATTGGTCTCCTAGAGAAATAAGAAGAAGAAGAAAAAACGAATAGATTCTTACTAGTGCATATTATTATTTACTAGTATAACGAGAATGAATGTGGTCTTTAATTTATGTTTTAGTATTATTTATTAAATATCAAAGTAAATTTAAATGAATTCGAAAAATATTTTTATAATTTCCTTTTTTTTTTCTTTTCCAGGAGTCGAATCATTGTCATGTTATCAATGTTCAATGAAATATTCTAATTCAGATTGTAATTTAAATAATTCAACATATTTTACTGAATGTCAACCTACTTATGATACTTGTTTAACAATTGTACTTAAACCAAGTAAAAAATCATATAATTATTTTTTTGATTTATTTTTTGGAATTATTTAGGTAATCTTGATGAAATAATTATTACGAAATATTGTACAAAACGTAAAGCATGTGAACTTCAACAAAATTATACACATTCTTTAACACCTTGTGAACCATATAATGATGGTCGAAGTTGGGGTTGCGTTTCGTGTTGTGGAGAACGAGATTTATGTAATTATGATGATTCAAATCGATCAATTTCAAACATCAATATACTGCTGATATTGTTACTAATTGTTTTATATTTTTTCTTTTGTTATTAATTATAAAAAACGAGCTTTTTTTTCATTCTAGACATATTTTTAAAAAATTGAAGTATAATTATAATAAACATCATTTTCTAGTAGATTTTTCGAAAATACTGTTAATCGATAAATTCTTTTCAAGGTTTTTTTTAATGCTATAGACTAATTGATCAAATGAAAATAAAGCAATAATCCTATTATATTAGAAACTCATTTTTTTTGTTTTTTCTTGGAAATTTCTCTGCGTTGTGTCATATATCCATCATGGTAAAAATTATTTTATAAGATGTTATTTTGAAGACATAAAATTTATACTTGTATGTCTTCTCTTATATTTATTCGTTATTCTCTTTCTCAGATATGCTCATTGAGAAGTGTAAAGCGTGCGGATGAGCAGCCGCCACCGCCGCCGATGAACTAAAAAAAACTAAAACCACCGCCGCCGTCACAGCAGAATTTTTTTAAGTTTCAAGCCGCCGCGCCGGCGAGACATTCTAATTGCGGTTGCTGCGCCGCCAATGTTTTTACCTGAGAAAGTTGGTAAAATACAAATGTTTCATGATAATTATAACTTATTTAACCGTACTTAAAGTTTTATTTCCTTTTTTACATATTTTTTTCTAGTCGTATGCATTTTTGATCAACTTCTATGGTTTCACTTATTGTTTAGCTTTATGTCAGTAGTGTACTTTATTATTTTGAGATCTAAAATAAAGTTTCTATTTTTTCATGAAACTATAATACTTTTTTAAACTTCAACCCGCCGTCGATTACTCTGCCGATTTATACCTCTAAGCACATTTTCATCAATTTAAACTTGAAAAAAAAAGTTCCATCAAAAAATATTTTTCTGTCTACACTTACTCAAGTAACCTGAGAGATGCAAAAGGTTGCTATTCACGTGGAATAATTCATTGTGCTCTTTTGTTGGATGAGAAAAAAAATATGTTTATGAAATTTTCTTTTCAACTTTGATTTTAGAATATCAATCAACAGACAAATGGCATCAATGCGATTGAGAAGTGATTCCATAGAATCTGTAAGATATTATACAATCTTTTCTCATTACATTTATCTATCTATAAATTATTCTATTCAAAGAATGCGTCAATGTGGGAAAAAATTTATGAAGAATTTCCCCAGACAAAACAAGACGCACCTTTTGCTAATAATCAAAATAATGATTTAGTTGATGAAAATCTTATCAGCGATGATAATGAAAATTATGAGAGTGATTTAGATACATCACCACCTATTACAACAACTCAAAACGATAATAAACAAACAAAACCATGGGAACATCCAACAAAACAAGAGAAAATTATAATTATCATTAATGATCAACAAAATTTTGATGATATTTATAAAAATTTAAAACAACATTTCTTAACACAAGGTCTAAAATGGACAAATGAAGAAGAAAAATCTTGTTCATGGCATTTTGGATTGACATCAATACATTTACATTTTATTGAGCCCCAATTTATTAATATTCAATGGTTATGTTCATCAGCATCAATTCCTTTCTGGATTACATTTAATAAAGAAAAAAAACAATATATTAAGAAGAATTGCATGACAACAAAACCCATTCGACACAAATTTACAAAAGATTTTATTACTTCACTTCGTTATGGTGCATTAACTGATATAACTAAATTTCATTATTCACCAAAACATTCATGGACAAATCAACAAGATCTAAGAAATAATGAAGATCGTTTGTGGTTTCTATCTTTAGATGATCAACGTAATGGTGGTGGATATATTGAATGGATAATAGAAAATTCTGAGAAAAAAGAAAAAAAACAATTATTAGTCACTAATATCAATCATTCCATTATTGTCGATTCAGATGAAGATGGTTTTGATATTTATATTTTTCAACATTGTAATATGAATGAATTTGATACAAGTACAAATCATAAGTCACATCAGGATGAATCTTCTCGACCAAGGAGTTCATCAAGACAGTCTGGAAGACAATCTTCATCACATCGATCAAATTCTAGACCTCGAGCACCTCCACCGTTGCAACAAACAACTAGTGCTCCTCGACAATCACGAAGAAAATCTTATGACAAATATCGTCGAATTGGTTTTCGTTCAGGTTGTTATTTTTCTACTATTCAATTTAGTTTACGTATCAATCGATCTCGATTGACACAAAGCAGTGCTCGATCTATTGAAGTGACGATTAAACAAACACTTTCATTACTCATCGAGTTTTTTATTGCACACAATCTCACTGTTTGTTTTGGAAAAATAGATTCAATGGAGGGTCCAAACCCTTATCTATTTTTCAAACCAAATATACCTAATTTTCCTTCACATATTATGAAATATTCATGGCAAATTCTTTCAACTGTTGGATATCGTTTACAACTTCAAATAGATGACGAATTCTTACAGAAATTATTTCAATTAAGTAGAACAGAAGAAAATCCTGACGAATTATTTTATCGTGTATGTGTATATCTTTCACGAATCTTCTCACTTAAACCATTTGTTAATATTATCAATGAATTAGAACATGCTGTTGATCAATCAAAAAGGAAAAGAGATGCGTCTGCATATGGTTTAATAAGAAAAATAGATGTTAATGATGAAAATGAAGCATATATTCCATCGGTTACATTAACACCAACAACAATTCGAATAAAACCATTGAAATTATGTCGAACAAATCGAGTTCTTCGTGCAAATATAGAGTTTGGTGAACCACTTTATCATTTTATTCTGGTTGATATTCGTGATGAAAATGGTCGAAATTTACAATCATTTCACTTTGGTGATTTACGTGAATTTTTACTTAACTATTTAGTCGAAGGTTTTATAATAATGGATGATCATAGACAATATCAATATTTACATCATTCACAATCACAACTACGACAAAGACAATTTTGGTTTTATCATCATAATATAGATGGTATTAATTTAAGTTTCGCTGAAGCATATAAATGGATGGGTAATTTTGATGACGAAAAAAATCCAGCAAAATATGCGGCTCGTATGGCTTTATGTTTTTCAACTACTAAAGCAACTGTTGATGTAAATATACGATTTTATTTGTATTGCTTATATTTATGATTATATTTTTACATTTGCTAGGTACCTGCAGAAAATGTTGTTTTACGAGCAGAAGATATTGAAGTTAATAATAATGGTAAAGTATTATCATTCACAGATGGTTGTGGTAAAATGTCAAAAAAATTACGAAATCAAGTGAGTTATAAAATGGAGTTACTATGAACTTTTCATGACTGATAATTACATAGTTTCTTTTTTGTACAGGAAAGTTAGCTAAAAATGAAGCTGTTTTGACTCTCTTCTTCGTTTGTCTAAAAGTGTTCTTTATCCGTGGAACGATCTCTTCTTCATGATATAGTTAATTTGCAGTAGTTATTAGAGGGATTTTTATTTACTTATCAATACCATTTTTTAGTTGGAAAAACTAACATGTTAATAACTTATTCTTCCTTTGTATTGAGTATTCTTTGCGGTGAAACAGAATGAAACCAAACTAATACCCTTGCTCATATATTTCTCACAATTGTAGTTTACTTGTATAAGACATAATGGAAACGTGATGCATTGATCTTGAGAAAGTACTGCGAAAAAAATGTTTCCGTATTCAGATGTGAGAATAAGTTTGTTCTATTTTATCATCCTGTTCGGAAATGTCTGTCTTTTGTCTGTTTTCCGTTCTGTGATCCTCCTTATAAATAGTCATTTTCTTGTCGTTGCTGTTTTTATTAAATTGTTACATTCTTCTGTGAATATTTTCTGACGAGAACTTTGTAATATGTAAACTGGTTGACACGATTTATTGATTTCATGACACAGTTTGATGTCATACAATTATTCATAGTAGAAATCATCAGTTATGATATCAGAATAATATAATGCTCAGTTTTTCTAAATTTGTTATTAAAGTACCTTATGTATTTGCTTCATTTTGATAAGACATTTTCTTTTTCCATATTTCATAGATCAAAGACGCCTTAGGTATGCGAAATGACTTTAGTGCTGTTCAATTCCGTTATGCTGGTACTAAAGGTGTTGTTAGTCTTGATACAACGTTACCAGATAACATCGATTTATATATTCGAAAAAGTATGACAAAATTTCAAAGTGATCATCAATGTTTTGAAGTATGCAAATTATCAGCACCACGACCATTATATCTTAATCGACAAGCTATTCTTCTTTTATCTTATCGACAAATACCCGATACTATATTCCTTATACTTCAACAACAAAATCATCTTGATCTTATTCGTGCTCTTCTTAGAAATTCTGATGCAGAAAAACTTATTCTTGAAAAAATACCATCATGGTTTTTACCTAGAGATATACATATTGCAAACATTGATTTCGTTCGTGAACCGTTCTTTCGACAATTACTTATTAGTGCATGTTTACAATCAACACGAGATTTGCTTCAACGAACACGAATTCGTATTCCACGAGATCAAGGACGAAATATGATGGGAATTGTTGATGAATATAATGTTCTTAAACCAAATGAAGTCTTTGTTCAATATACTCTTATGGATAAAGATCAAAATAATCACCATATGAACAGAAATAAAAATCAAACTGAAATTTTAAATAATCGTCAAGTTGTTATTACAAAAAATCCATGTCATCATCCAGGTGATATACGAACATTTACTGCTGTTGATTATCCAGAATTAAAACATTTAAAAGATGTTATTGTCTTTTCACAGCAAGGTGATCGTCCAGCTCCACATGATATAAGTGGATCAGATTTAGATGGTGATGAATATTTAGTTATTTGGCATGAAGATCTTGTTCCAAATCGAACTAATAATGCACAACCATATGATTATGATTCAAAGATACCTAATCGAGACTGTAAAAAATTAGTAAAAAGAAAAAATATCAATAATACTATACTTGAAATAGCTGAACAAGATTGTTTAGGAAGACTTTCAAATTTACATTTAGCATTTGCTGATAAATTTGGTGTTGATTGTGACAAAGAACCAGCAAATGGTGTTTTATCAACAATTGAATTAGCTGGTAAAATTAGTCAAGAAGTTGATAGTGGTAAAACTGGTTATCATCCATTGAAAGAAGATGCTATCAGAAAATTAAATCTTGCTTTAAACAATAAACGACCTGATTATATGAATAATGCTAATTTTGATCCATACACATCCAAACATATTCTTGGTATAATAGAATAATATTTGTTTTCTTTTTCTCATTACTGTTTTATTGTTCTTTGATAATTATTTAGGAAAACTATATCGTTCTTCGAAGAAAACATTACCTGAATGGAATCGACTTGTACGGTATCATCGTCACTTACGTCATTTACAAGTCCGAACAGAAGATGAACCTGAGGAAGAAGAACTAGAAGAGAATGATGAAAAGAACGATATCAATCTAGATTCAACTCTTTTGAATGGTGTCGATCAGAATCATCCAGCGTATCAAGATTGTGCTCGGTTTGCTGATAAATTAGTTTCAGTTTATCGACAAGAGATCTTTGAAATTGTTAGTCTTTATGGTTTATCACATGAAAGTGATTTATGGTGTCGCAATTCGATTAATGGCATAACTGGTGAACTTGAAGATACTGCTTATACAGAACTTGAACAACTTGTTACACGAACAAGAGATCGTTTCTTTTTAGAACAAACTACTTATTGTGAAGGAGACAACTGTCATGTTGACACACAGATGTCGAAGTTATGTGGTACATGTAGAAATCGGCAACAAGCTTTTGCTGTTGCTTGTTATTGTAATTGTTATAATCGAGAACATGCACTACACGAAGCACCAATTTTAAGTTTACCATGGTTGTTTGCTACACCTCTTTTACATGGTCGAATAAATCAAGGAGCACCACCAACACAAGGTTTACTTGGTATCGCAATGCAAAAGGCACTACAAAGATTCTTCGATAACGGTCGACTAACATTAGATGATGTGGTCTTAAAATTTAAAACATCGAAAAAAGCGTGTGCTGGTGAAGCAACGGTCGATACAAGTGTTTGCATATTTATCGAGATAGTTCAGTATTATTTAGGGCGAAAAGGATATCGATACTGGCCATGGGTACTTAGTCGTTTCATACGAAATACACGATCATTTACAAAATTAACACAAGGATCCGAAGCTACAGATGAATGGGAATTAGTGTTAAGACCACATAAAATACATGAATATGATGAATTTGCTGCTATACTCGCGTCAATGCCATGGGAGGAGAATGAAGATATGTTAATGCACGATTATTTCAATGATATTCTTAGTATTTGTTTTGAAGAAGGACGTCAAAGAAATGATATTGAATTCCTAAATATAAGTGAAGATATTATACTATTATTACAAAAATTAACAATTGAAGAAACAATTCTTTAATATTTATCTTTTTTGTCACTTTTATTTTACTTGTCACAGTAGCTTTATATAGTAGAAATTTTATGTTTTATTAGTTTATCACTGACTTTTTTCATATACAAGAAATATAGTTTATTATCATTCTTTTTTTAATTTACTTCAACTATAAGTAATTTGTATTATAAATAGATTTATACACTAAAGTTTATTTTTTTACTAGATTTATCACATTATTCTAGTGTGTACATGAACGAAGGAAGAATTCAAATCTTGTTGATTAGATAATAGCGCCGTCTATACGATAGTTTCTATTATTATTGGTTAATATTTCATCTGTATAGGTTTCTTCTTCTTCTGTCTTTCAGTCTCTTAATCGTTACATAAATACTAAAATGTTGTTTTCCTATAGATATAGATAATCAAAATCATTCCAATTTTAACAATGATGGAATTTGATAATATACCTCTTGATACGAATTCTACTAATGACAATAAAATATTATCATCATCCTTATTAGACGAAATAACATGTGCTATTTGTTTGGATATATATGAAGAACCAAAACGAACATCATGTTTACATGTAGCATGTCGTAGATGTTTAGAAGAATATCATCATTCATGTAAAAATACAATGGATATTGCTACTTGTAAGTATTTATATATAATTGAATAATAAAAAATAGTTTGTTTTATTTAAAACATCTTAGGTCCACAATGTCGTGCACCATCCATACATTTACCTAATGGTGATGCTAGTTCTCTTCCACCAGCTATTGACAAAGAACAACTTATAAAGATTTATAGACATGAACAAGAAGTTGAAAATAAACATATTGGTAAATAATAAATATTTTTCTATTTTGTTTGTTTTCTTAATAAATTTTTAAATTTAGGTTTATGTTCCTTATGTCAAAATGATACAGCTAATCTTTATGGTCGATGTTTTCAATGTCAAGAAAATTATTGTCAAATATGTTATGGATATCATGCACATTTTCATCCATCACATATGACTCGTACATTTCATGAAATACATCATTTACCAAAACCTTCCATTGAATTTGATGAAAGTATTTCATTTTTATGTTCACAACGACATAATAAACGTCCATTAGAATTTTATTGCGTTAAATGTTCGGAATGTCTTTGTTCGGAATGTCTTATTGATGAAAATAGTTCCCATCATCGACAACAATATCATACAATAAAACTTTTATCACAAATCGCCCAAGAAAATCGATATCAATTAGAACGTCTTTATGTAAATAGATTAAAATCTATACATCGAGAACTAAATGAAGCAATTGAATATATAAGTAAAATTCTTGATCGTGATCAACGATTATTTACTATATTTGATCAATTACAAAAACAAGAAGAAAAAGTTAATGAACTTGATAAATTAATTCAAACATTAGTTAATCATGCACATGATGTACATGTAGTTCTATATGAAAAACAAGCTAGAGATCAATTAAATGAAATTATACATGAAAGACCACCAAGACCAAGACAAGGATTTTTACTTAATGGATTAAGATTTGAACCTCTGTCTAGTAAGTATAAGAAATGTTATTGATAAACTTAAATTTAATATATTTTTTATTTTATCTATGTTAGATTCGAAATTACATATGAAAATAGTTTTACCATTCGAAATTCTTCCAACAGTAAATGAACCCATACCTCAACATGTTGAACATGTTTATCTTGATTTTTTATTTATGAAAAATAAAAATTATTCGAAACCTATGATTGGTTATCAAGTATCATATGAACAATCTGATTCAACATTTTTACGTCTTTTTGGTTCATTTATTCCTCAACAAATGAAACAATTCACATGTTCACTTTATTCATATTCGTATATAAATAAACAATTTGTCAAAGAAGATACATCAGAATTATTATTTAATTTTCCAAAAAAATTTGATGATGAAATTAAACAAAAATCTAGACAAGATGTTATAACTTATTCCGATAATGATGATCAAATAACAATAATTTATGATTATAAAATTGATTCTATAATAATAAAACAATTAAATCTTGTATTTGGTTTATCAATACATGAAAAGAAAAAAGAAAATTTTCTTGGTTATGATTTACAATTAACATCCATCCATATTCGTTTATTAGCAAATAAACAACAATTACTTATTTGTGGTTTAAAATCGAATAATAATAAATTAATATGTTTTATTTATGATTTAAATACACTTGATATTCTCGATACATATTGTTGTTATATTGGACAAAATATACAACAAATTCTTGATGTTATTATATATAATGATGAAACAATATTTTTATGTTTTCAAACAATTGATCGAAGATTATTTATATGGATTGGAAAAGAATACATTGAAGAAATTGCTTTTAGTGGCATTGAACTTGGAGAAACTAAATGTATTATTGATCGATTAGTTTTAAGTCAACAAATGGATATATTAGTTGCATATAGAAATATGGAACAAGATGATTCACGAACTTGTTTTGCCATGAGTAAATATTTAATACCGCATTGTAACAACTGAATGTTTGTTTATTTATGGCATAATCTTCTTTTTTTTTTTAATTTATAACTAATAAAGTACAATCTTAAGATAAGATATGAGAGAAAATGTTCATATGCTCATTTTTATTATGAAATGTTGGTGGATTGATCCTATTGTTAATGTTGAATACAAATAATCAACAGAAAACAGGTGCAAAAAGAACAAAATTATGAAAACTAAGTCTAGAATGCAGCACCACTAAAAGCGCCTGTTGCCGCTTGGGGACCGAGAAGAATTGATCGTTGTTCACGACTCATTTGTTCAGCAACTTGTAATAATTCTTTTTGAATAAGAATCGGAAAAACAAGTACACACATAGTTGAAGTTACCCTAGATAGAAATTATAAGAGAAATAAAACAAAAACTAGCTAGAAGAAATCTTACCACCATGCTGCTGTACGACCTTTACTATAAGCAAATTTTGATGTATTAATTACTGCACGATTTAATTTTCCAACAGTATTTTGAACACTTTCCGGAAACATTTCTTTTAATGCAACAATACGTTCAAGTACTGTTTCATCTTCAAGTAATAAATCATCATCATCATTAGCATGAGTGTTATGATGATTTGTTGAAACAGCAGGTGGATTCATACGAACTGTTTGTTGTTGAAGTGCGGCAATTAATTCAGGATCAATCGAATCATTATCATTCGTTGTTGAATTCATCATCATCATTTCAGCTGTTGGTGCGAATTCAATACCTTCTTGTGCTGTCAAAAGTTGTCGGAGAATTTCTTCGTCCATAATTTTATGATTAATCTAAAATATCTATCGAATCATTCAGATTCTAATTTAATTCGAGTATCTTGTTAAACTGTTCTATGCTCAAATAGATTGTAGTATAATCCAGGCAAAAAATAACTTTGTATTTCTAGAAATAAAATAGATTTTCTTGAGTAAACATATACATTCTAATGGAAATGAATCATTGTTGAAAGAAAAACACAAAATAAATATAGTTATGTATGCATACACCGATTTACTTTTATGAATTAAAAACGTTTTATCAGTAGCGCAAGAAAATAAAATAAACACAGAAAAAAAAGAATTAGAGACTTGGAAGAAGACTTATTTAGTGAATATTCTGTTTTTTTTCTTGCTCGTATAATAAATATTTATATTTACATATTTTTTTTTTCAAGTTTCCTAAAAAGATTTTTTGTACGGATATTTAAATAATAGAATATTATTATACAATTTTTTTTCTACGGATGAAATATTCATTTATCCGAAGAAGAAAAAAATTTCTACACATACATGTTTTATTAAATGAAAGACAAAAATCATCAGAAATATTCTTATTAATCAACTTCTTCTTTATCATGTTGATGGTTATTGCTTGATTTTCGTCTTGTTTCTCTATGAATATTTTTCACCGGTTTATATTGTTCTTTTTCATCACTATCACGATCTAATGCATCGAATCGATTTGTACCTTCAACTCTATCATATCCGACATCACTTGCTGATGCACTACATGATGCTAATTGATGATCATCACTTGTTGGAAATGCTTCACTATCTTCACCACCAGATACATCACTATCAGGACGTTTTTGTTTATCAATAGCTAATTGAATTTGTTGTTCAAGTTCAATAGCTCGAGGATCCGATAAATATTTTTCTTTTTCATCAGTAAAACCTGGTGGTCGAAGACATAAATTAATTCGACCATCGAGTGCTAAACGAAGAATATGATTAGCAGCTCGATAAACGTCAGGACGAGCTGCTTTTGCTGTTAAAAATCCACGTTTCATTGCCCAAGCTAGTAAAATAGAGAAGAAGAAAAAAAAACACTTTGTATAATTTATATTTTTTTAATGACAGAATATACCTTCACAAATATCCAGTGCACTATATTTCGGTGTTTCTGCTTCAAGTTTCTCTAATTTAAGAAGTTTTGTCATTGGTAACCATTGAGCAAGATATCCAACAGCTGTATAAGGTTCTTGAACTTGTGCAATTGGATAAATTCCTGCTAAAATCTTTAAAAGGAAAACAATGAATCAATGCAATAGAATATTTAAATTTACTTGTAATGGTCTTTCAACATATGAAGGAAAAACTAAACCTGGACAATCACATAAACGTACAGTTGGTGTTAGATGTATTGTTTGAAAATGTTTTGTATGTCCTGGTGTACGTGATACACTAACAACTTTATGACCAACAATACTATTTAATATTGATGATTTACCAACATTTGGATAACCTGTAAAACCTAATGTTACATGACCAGATGTTTTAGTTGTATTTGTTAATGGTGATACATCAATTTGTTCATATTTAAGATCATTTGCAATTGATTCATCATTCATACATTCTTGTATATGTTTTTTCCATGATGATAAATCAATTTTTGAACCAACAATTGATGATACACATTCGAATAATGCTAATGGACCGATAGCATAATAATTTTTTCGACGTACGATACGTGCCATTACTTGATAATTATCAAAATCATCACGTGTTGTTGCTAAATCTTTTGGATATGATGTATAAGTAAGAATATGTAATTGAGGAAATTTTTTCGAAAAATAATCTTTTACAGCAATAACAATCGATGGTGGTGCAAGATCAATTTTGTTTAAAATAATAATTAATTGTTTATTATGGACACGTGTAACATAATCATAAAGTGCTGGAGAAAAATGAAGAGTCTATATTAAAGAAAAAGAAAATATATAGAAATAAAAGAGAATAAAATATATTACAGCAAAACGTATATCAACAATCATAAGTATAATATCACAAATTTCTACTGTTCGCCATAATTGTCTCCATGTTTCAAGATTCATTTCAAAATAACTTAAATGTTCAGCTTCAAAATTTGCGAAAATTTTATCCAAATAACCCTAAAAAAATTCATATTTATATTTTTTAACTAAATACAAAAAAAACTAAATTTACATTGAAATATGTCTGTTCTTGCTGTTCTAATTGTTCTTTAGTCATATCATATGTCCATACTGGTCGTATAGGCATATCAAGTGCACTACCCGGTCGATAAATTTGTTCAATAGGAATTTCTAATGATTGATCAGGTAGTTTGACAATTGGCACTTGAGCAAGTTTTTTTCGTCGATCAATTTCATCGCGAGATTCACGTTGAAAATGAAGACGATATCTAATAAAACAAATAATATCTCATTACAGATGACCTTAACTGTTAAAGGTCGAAAACTATTAGTAAACTAATACTATTATAATTATCTCGTTATTTATAAAATCTTACCGATTTGGATTATGTGCTCCAGTATCTCGAACAGGTTGTTCATTTATTCGACGACGAGAATTATGTGGATTATTCGTATCAACAACTGCCGCTTCATCGTCTGAATCTGCCCATTTATCACCTAAATATCAATAGAAAATGATAAATATTATTTTCCTAAATAAGTTTCAATTACCTCGTGCTCGAATTTTTTCTCGTTTTAATTTTAATTGTTCTTTTTTTTGCTTTGAACTAAATGGTTTCTTCCTTGTAGCATCCATTTTTCATCTAAATCTTTAAAAAAAACATTCATTTATGATATTCGAAGGAAAAAAAGAATTTGCATTTTTTTATTATTTTCAAGAAAATTCACTCAAATACAAAAAAAAAGAAAGAAAGAAGATTTATAATATATGATAACATATACACACAAAAAAGAAAAAAAAATTTTAATATTCTGGAAAAAAAAGAACCTCAATGTAAATATTAAATATAGAAAAGAAAAGCTACCATATTTAAAATCACAATAATGCTTCGCTTCTTTTTATCGTTATCGATAAATAAATAACAGATTAATGTCAGTGAGTTTCGTTGTCATACATAAATTAAACAAGAAAGGAAGATTCATTTGAATATGAAATTGTTTTGATTATCTTATCGAGGGCTTTGATTAAAATATTGATTTACTGGTGGCTTCTTGCCAATACAAAATACATTAAAACCAATACTCATTAAATGATCATGATCAAGTATAAGACGACCATCAAATATAAATGATGGTTTTTTCATTGTACTATAAATCAATTGATAATCCAATTGCTAAATAATGATTTATTATTAATGAAAGGAAATCCTATTCTTATTATTTACTTTAAATTCATCCCATTCAGTACAAATAACAAGTGCATGAGAATCTTTTGCCGCTTCATATGCACTATGAACTATTTGAACATGTTCACTTACTACAAAATAAAGAATTGATTAATATATTAATAAGTTTCTAGTAATCTTACATTCAGCTTCCGTTTTACCAGTTTGTTCACATAAATCAAGAAAAATTCTTTGTTCCGGTACTTTTGGATCATAGATAAGTAATGATGCACCTTCAGCTAATAAATATTGACATACATAAATACTTGATGATTCTCTAAACATAATTTTGTTTTGATACAAAAGCCAAAAAGAATATCTCGATATTTTACCGTGTATCAGCAGTATCCTTTTTAAAAGCAAAACCAAAAACAGTTATTTTTTTTCCACTAACACTTCCAAATAAGTTTTGAACAATCATCTGAGCAAAACGTTCACGTTGCCAATCATTGATTTTAATAACTTGTAACCAATATTGAGCAACTGGTTCAAGTTTTAATGATTCAGCTAGATAAATTAAATTGTAAACATCCTTTTGAAAACAACTACCACCAAAACCTATTGAATTATAATCGAGAAATTTATTATTAATGCATTCATCAATTAATTTACCAATACTAGCATTCAAAAATTTATTTCCAATACGTGAATCTAAACCAACTGCTTTAGCTACTTCACTAACAGATGCACCTGTTGCTTCACAAACAGCTGATATCGTATTAATACTTGAAATACGTTGAGCTAAAAATGCATTAGCTACCTAAATATATGAAATTATTATAAAATAGATGTAGAAAAATAACTGACTAGTTTAGATAATTCCGATGACCATGTATTAGTTGTAAGGATTTTTTCTTTTGGTACCCAATGTTCATAAATCCATGAAAGTTTTTTAATTGCTAATGAACCATCAATTGTTTCATCACCACCAATTAAAACTCGATCAGGTGCTAAAAGATCATGAATAGCTGAACCTTCAGCTAAAAATTCTGGATTCGAAAGAACTTGATAAGAAACTCCAGGTTGTTTATTTGTTTTTAATATTGTCTTTATTGATTCAGCTGCTTTTACCGGCACTGTAGATTTTTCAACAACAATTTTATTACTTGTTGCTATCTGTGCTATTTGTCGAGCAGCTTCTTCAACATAACGTAAATCAGGTGCTCGACCCTATGAAATGAAATAACAAATAGAAAAAAAGTTTTCGTTTGACCATATACTATAATTTTAAATAAAATAATGACGATTATGTCATTTATAATTAAATGATTTTAGTCTGAATTGGTGAACTATGTATTATACAGCAGCATTGCTACCTGATATTTGTAGTATTATTTATTTTCTTTGCTAAAATCTTATATGTTAATAAAATTTTCAATGAGACAAAAAACAGGAAATGAATGTTTAACTTACATTACCAAAACCATAGGATTTAGTTGGTGTATTAACACTAATAAAGATTAAATCAGCTTCTTGGATTGCTTTTTTAACATCAGTTGAAAAAAATAAATTACGATTACGAATACTTTTAACCATTTCATCAAGTCCAGGCTAATAGAATTAATCATTTAAAATAAAAAAATATATATACAAATAAGTAACTAACTTCAAATAAAGGTAAATTATCTGAATTCCAAGCTGCAATTCTATCAACGCTTACATCAACAACAGTTACTTGTATATGTGGACATTTACTAGCTATTATGGCACATGTTGGACCACCAACATAACCAGCACCTAATTAAAATCAAAATTCTAGTATTTTTTTTTCAAATAAAAATAAAATAAATATACCAATGCAACAAATTCGGAATGTTGGATTTTTATTATAAGATTCATTTATTTGCTCATCTAAAATAATATTCATAATTGAAATTTAAATAAGAAAAATAAGAAATTTACCTTCAGAATTTGGTTCTGTTCCATTACATTCATTCGACATTATAGTGAACTGTTTACTTTAAAGAAAAATCTGAAAATAAAATTTAACATTTCATTATATCAAGCACGTGAAATTCATCACATTCAATATGCATGTAAGGTTGAGATTCATATGCTAAACAAATTTCATCAATTTCAAAACGAATTTCATTAGTTTTCTCAAAAATTTCTTTACAAATACGATGAAATTTTTCTTCAAATTTAACAGGATCATTTGGTTTTTTAATAAAACGAAGAAATGATGTATGAATTATATTTGGTACATGTAATGATGGTTGTCCGTCTTCCGGTTTACAAATAGTTTGAATTGATTGACGAAGATTTTCTATACCATTATTATGATTTTTAAATTGAAAATAACCAGCTGCTTTCGAAAGTTGAATAGAATCAAGTGTAAGAATAATTGGTTGATTTTTTGAAGCTGTTTTTAATTTTGTAAAACATTCTTTCCAATATTGTAAACATTTTTCAGGAGATTGAGGCCATGCATGTTTAAAATTATATAAAGTCGTAATAGTAATATGTAAATGAGCGATTGGATAGAGATAGACCGATTGTTTTTCATCATCATTAAAATTTGTTTGTAACTCTTTAATTAATCGTTGATAAAAATCAGCGAGTTGAACCGGTTTTGGGTGATGAAATAGTGCACAAATGATTAAGCCAAATGTTTCTTTTTTTTCTTCACGATTTATTTGTTCTATGAGAGGATCGATCTCAAAATCCATATGTTGAGTTATTTATGATGAAAAAATCTATAAATATGTGGATTATAATATTTACACAATTGAGTAGAAAAAAACCAAATAAAACAATCTATGGATTTTTTTGTGTCCAATGAAATTATTAAAAAAATTATTTAGCTACAAAAGTTACTATTTGATAATAGAAATACTTTCATAGTAATAATCATTCAAGGTAATGTAAATTATAAACGATCAGGACTAAATGACAACCAACAAATAAAGGCTTCGGAAGATGTCAGTAGAAACATAGCTTAATATTTTATGTAGTATACTAAAGTCATCGATTAATTATTGAATTGTAACAACCCATCTTTGAGTGACATATTAATGATGTCTTTTATTCCTCTTCTATATTTAAATGCACTTCCGAATCAATATTAGTTTGTCGTTTTATCACATGCTTTTCTTATACACGTCGTATAACTAAATCTTTGTACTTCTTCAGTTTGACCCTAACTCCCATTCTTTTTTCTTATTGTATTTATGACTGTTCCTAATGCTATATAAGGCACGAAACATATACACATTAGTCTTCTAGTAGTGCCTGTCATATCAGAAATTGTTACATTAATTATCTCGAAATACAATATTATCTTGGGGGTGGATGTAGGAGTTAATAAAGACTCAATACACACACCCAACTTAAGCTGTCTGATGAGATCCTTAAGCGAGGTCGAAATCGCGATTACAGTGTGCTTTACGACATCCACATCCGCAAGATAGATTTCAATAGAAAAAGTTCTCATAAAAACTTTCAAATGGATAATAAGCAACAAGAGTAGCATCGTCAACAAGTTCACTGGGATTCTTTACGCGCGATACAAATGTTAGTTTGTCAATGAAACCACTACAATAAGTGAATGTGGGTGTCTGAGCTATTCTTCTCTATGCATCTACACCCACACCCTCAAGATTTGCTTATTTATTCATCTTACATTCGTATGGTTTCATTTAATAATTTCTGGATTCTTCTTTTTCGTTTAGCTCATAAAATATATGTATTTACTTATCTGAATTCATTCATTTCTTGTTAAATTCATTAAACAATTCAGTAAAACATTTAAATAATCCTTATAATATAATAAGCATTAATATAGATTCAAAATTCATTAGAAATCTTAGATGACATATTAATTTCCGATTCGCTCGTTTATTTATTTCATATTGTTAGTTCGTTTTCTTTAATTTACACCCACATCCACCGCCTATCGAAAGATGTAGGTTCGATGCCTGCTCTGATTTTATCAGCCTTACTTAAGAAGTCTTTCATGCTTGTTGAACCATATTCATGTGGTTACATTGTTTGCTTTCATTTGTAATTCCTGGATCAGCTACATGATTTCTTAATTGTTAACCCTTTATTTTATAATATTACATTCAGACAACTTCACCCACACTCACACCTTTAATCTAAATGACGTTTGTTACAATTTGTAAAAAGCATCATTTTTTATTCAAAAAGCAGATGAGCATATAATAGAGAATAAATGAGTTTCTTTTCAGAAGTTAGGGAAATGTCATGTTTCTAAATAAGTTTTCATAGTCTAATTATGGTGAACATTCATTGATGTAAGTAAACCGCTATGTTATCTACGCAACCATCATTTGCGCCTCCCGACTCGAAAACCCTGATGGCAACGGACACTACAAAAGAACGAGCACCAACAGGTACAAGTCCATTAGCTTCTCGATATAGCAGTGAAGTTATATCTGCTCGGTCTGTATTTGTTACCGGTCCCACAGTAACGGTACTGCCCACTATCTGATTCATATGACCGTAGAATGTTAATGACACTTCTGCAGTATCATTTTGATGTTTCCAACCACCAAGCCATGCCGAAAAAAGAAAATAAACTGTATGACTATCGATAAGATCGGCATTAACCATACTAGTCATAACGACTTGTTGCCACATATTCGTTTTGTCACTGGCGTCACCATAAAAAAAACAATTCCCACGATCGCTATAAGAATAAAAGATTTTTATTTAAAATAATTGATCTGTTTTTGTTTTACCTCGGTCCGGGATCTGTGAAATAGTGCTCCACGTTAGTATTGTTATAAATCATTTGTGTAATTGATCCAAGGTGGTTCCAACCTGTTGGAGGCGCGTCATCACTAACAGGTTTACATGGTCCCGTTTCTGCATCACCGTTTATCAATAAATTAGATTTAGATCCTAAATAATGAGAAACATGTTCTGTAATGTGTGAAAACAAACTGGTCGCGGATGTTATACTCTTCTCGAATATATACATACTCCTCACAGTCATCCACTACGCATACACCTACCCTCGTTCATACCCCTCTCATATTATGACTTGGGCTCAAGCCTATAATTCGAGTTGAGTTCAGCCTTTTCGAGCTCAAACAGTCTGGATTTAATTTATATCTACTAGTAACACTTTATTAAAACAATAGAGTTACCTGTGTGAAGGAATCGTTTTTCTCTTATGAAGAACTAGCGAGCTGCCAGTCTTCTATGGCGATCTCTATTTGTCATATTTACCATGGATGTATACTTATCTATTTAAACTGGCGTCTACTTTGTCTCTAGTCGATGTTATGATTAATTGTTGGCGTATAATAAAGATATTTGACATAAATATAGAGAACTCTTTTTATCAACCATACATTCGTATAACACCATCGCAATCGACTAGCATATTCAATATTCGACTAAGCTTAGACGAAATGAAGTCATAAAAAAACTGAGTCTATTTGCAGCCTTCGTATAAAGTTCTCTAATATTCTATACTTAGATAAGGAACATCGCATAGCTAAAACCAAAACTTTCAGATTTGGTTACTTGTAATACTCATCGTTTAGACTATTACAAATCATTCAGCATATTACTAACCTGGTGTTCTTGTTGTTAATGTTGATGTTGTTGTTGATGTTGACGCTGTTGTTGGTTCTGGTGTTGATGTTCTTGTTGCTGAAGGTGATGTGGTATTTGGCTCTAGATTGCAGAAATGATTTTAGAAAGAGATTAGGATGTAGGTGAGGGGGTGAGTATTGACGATGGTATAGTTTAAAAAATCCTATAACACCCACACCCACCCCTTATGTGAATTCAAAGGTGGATTTCGAAATAATTTATCTTTTATGGAATATTCTAAATAAGAAATTATTTGTTTTTTGTATAACTATACCTTTTTTTATTGTTTGCGTCGTTTTGGTTGTTACTATTATTTCAGTTGTTGTTGTATTTGTATCGTTTGTCTCTTTTGTTTTAATGATAACAATTGGAATTGTTATAATTATAGAAAGTACAATAATAGTAAATGTAATCCACATCCCTTTTCTTTTTTTCAGATATTCGCATCTAGAATAATAAATCTTTTTTATCATTGTCTACAATTCATAAAATACATACAATTTTTTTGATTGAGTTGTATTCGACGTAACTGTTTCAGACTAAAATAATCAAAAAAAAATAAATATCATATTTAATTGTTTTTCTTTTTGTCAATAAATTACATCATTATCAACTCCTACTTTGTTACTATTGTTCATTGTTGAAATCTTGTTGAAAGTTTAATACTTTTACAATCTAAAATCGATAAAAGCATTTTCTCATTTATAGATTTCCAGTCATTAATAATATAATTACATAGAAGCTAAACTGTTTATTTGAATATCTTTTCATAAAGAATCATTTATGTTTCTCGCTAATTATTGAAATCTATATTTTAAGTAATATCTAATACTCCTTACCGACTAATCTTAGAAGTTTTTCATTCTGATTTCAACTATAAAATTGTTAAAATAATAGAAAAAATATTTATCATGTTCTCTCTTTCTCTTTCTTAAATAATTAGTTCTTTTTTTTTTGACCTATATCATCGTGTTAATGTAAAACATTATATATAACTAAAAACAATAAACACACTTCCTTTTTCAATGTTAATCTTCAAAAACGAACTCTTATCAGGTATAGTTGTTATTTCCTATAGATATGAAACTGTTTAAGACAACATTTAGTGTAATTATTAGTTAATAAAACATTAGTAATTAGGGCTGTTCAAAGGATATGCAACATTTTCTAACAGAGAAAAACAATTAATGTTAAAATATTCTACTATACACAATGATTCTTCTAATTCAATTGAGAATTAGACAATATTTAAGGTTAGAAATGGGTTTTATTTTGATTTTATCGTATATAATAATTATTTTGCAGAATAGATAAATGATAATGATGTTCATTGATTTAATTGGAAATTGAAATAGAACATTCAAGAAAACAAAAGCGACTAGTGCTTGAGAGAACTATAACTATGATTTTAATTACAATCACAGAACATGTAAAATATGTAGATTCTTTGAATAATTATATTTAGTTGTGACTATCGGTGATTGTGGATATTATATTTGTCTCTCAGTCTTCTCCGCACTATGAAAAGTTATTTATATTCTTTTAATTATTTTTCTCACTAGAGAAACAAAGTTTCAGATTTGTTTCTTAATTTGTGATTGAATATTTATGTAGAGAAAGTGAACATAAATAAAACAGCAATTATATCAAATCTGAATAAGAAAATGATGGTATTATTTTCATCGACATATGATGTTTTATCATAAATATTTTACATAAAAACGATTATATACAGTAAGCATCCGAACCATTCACTCATTATTATCTATATTTTAAATCAAACAAATACATAAGAATTAAGTGGAAGATACCATTTGAAAATCCTTTTTTCGGTATTGAATAACCTAAAAAATTTCGACTAAAGTTGATGATTCTACTAAATATAATTTGAAAATTATCAAATAAATAAAATGAGAAGAGTTTCATTTGATTTGCTATGATTAAGATTGTTGGTAAAATGATTTTCTCATCTGTTACTTATATTTGTCTTCTACTGAAATGAAATAAAGACAAGTTGTTTCTTTTTTTTCCGTAGTCGCCTATACAATGATGTCAATGTGAACTTTCTTTTTTTTAAATATTTTCAACAAATACAACATCTGGAAATATTAATAAATAAAAACAATGAATCCGTTTCCTTTTTCAAAACTGATATGAAATGTCACGTATTATTTGCTGTAAATATGAAAAGATGTTCAAGATATTGAAATTTGGTAGGAAGGATGTGAAAAACAAAGTGTTTCAAACAAAATTTAATGTTATTCTTGTTAAGGATATATCGCAAACCATGCCTGAACGAAGGAAATACAACTCTTCCTCAAGAATAAAATATTTTGTTATTTTATATTCAGTTCAAAGAGAAAATAAATCGACATTAATGTGTTATCAGAAATGTACTGCACAAATAATCATATTCTTATTTCACAGATTAGATAAATAATAAGGAAAGCGCACTTATTTATCTACAGAATGAATCCTCATCAAATACTATTCAACGATATAAATATTATCGAGCACGTAAAATCTGTGAGAAATAAATACGTGAATAAATTAATTGAATTCATAGTTTTATCATTCTTTGAAAGTGTTCATCATGATGAACAATTATGATCAAATTTACATAGTTATAAGTAAAAATAGTATATCAATCATTTCTTTTGTTCTATATTGTGATGTACAAGAGAAATCAAGAAGATACACTATACTGAGACTGACATTGTGAATAAATAATTGTAAAATGCCGGATATTTTCTTATAAACAACCACATTTTCTATCGCTCAGTAAGATTTCAATCGATAAAACTAAAATGTTTTATTATGACCAAGAATAAAACTTTTGAAGAGTCGATTTATTCTATCAAACTCAAATAAATAGTTAGAAATCTATTCTTCTAAAAACAAAATTTTATCAAATAATAATTCAAGAAGATTTTGTGAAATATAAAAGTAAATTGAATGTTATGCAAAGTTATTCTTTCTTTTATTTATCCGAACTTGTGTTTATTCAACTTAAATATTCTGTAAAGAAAAGATAATTTATGTAAATTATCACATATGAATAAAATTATGAAACTATTTAATAATGCTTAGTTTTATTCAGATAAACACAAAACAATGTTAAAACATATTCGTCCTAACGAAGCATTTCTCATCTAATTCTCAATTGTTCAAATTTTATTTCATTAAGATCTTATTTCGAAATATTTGAG